TTTTATCTTGTACTGTAAGGCATTGAACCTGGGGCCTCTGTTCCTGTTTTTGCAATGCCTGGGACCATCACTAAACAAAAGTAAAAACAAGGGCTAGAAAAATGACTTAGTAGTTAAGATCACTTTCTACTTTTCCAGAGGACTGGAGTTTGATTCCCAGCATCCACATTTGTAGCTAACAGCTGTCTGTGACTCTAACTCCTGGGGATCTGACATGACCCTCTGGCTTCTTGGGACACATGGATTCACATCCACAGGCAAACACAGCCACCTTCACATAATTAAATATAATACAAATAAATCTTTTTTTTTTTTTGGTTTTACGAGACAGGGTTTCTTTGTATTGTTTTGGAGGCTGTTGGTCCAGCCTGGCCTCGAACTCACAGAGATACACCTGCCTCTGCCTCCCGAGTGCTGGGATTAAAGGCGTGCACCACCACTGCCCGGCACAAATAAATCTTAAACCAGTAAAAATCTAAAACCAAGAAGCAAATAGCAGAAATAAGAATTTTGAAGGAATATGGCAGGGACTGGAGTAGCATGGCTGATATAGCTGGCTTTTTATTGCTGTGGTGAAGCACCATGATCAAAAGTAGTATCGGGAGGGAAAGGTTTATTTCATGTTCACTTCTGCAACACAGTTCATCCTTGAAGGAAGTGATGACAGAAACTCAAGGCAGGAACCTGGAGTCAGGAACTAAACAGAAATCATGGAAGGGAGCTGCTTTCTGGTTTGCTCATCACTTGCCCAGCCTGCTTTCTCGTACACAGGACCACCAGCCCAGGGGTGGCACCACCCAGAATAAACAGTGATCAGTTAAGAAACTGCACCACGAACTTGCCCACAGACCAACAAGGAGGGGCATTTTCTCATATGAAATTCCCTCTTCTCAAATGACTCCAGATTATGTCAAGTTGACTTACCACTACAATGACTATCAAGGTAAAGAAACTTGTTTGTTTGAAAGAAGCTTCAAGAAGAAAATGAGATGCATACATGGTTGACAGAAACAAAAGAGGGGAGACTAGCAGCGGGCTTGGATTGAGCTGACCAACAAAGACTAGGACAGTGCTGGGGTAGGGGTGGGAGAGAGAAACCATAGACTTTTTTTTGTAATACTTAATCTGTATTAAGCCCTAAATTGGATATTTAATTACAGTTTAACCAGTATATAAATATAGAGGATGAAACTTTGACCCACATATTTAAAAAAAATGGACAAAGAGAGGCTTGTTCAAAGTAATACAAGCTAGTAAGTAGAACCAAGATTTAAATCCCAGCATGTATGATTTCAAAGACAATGAGAGGGTGGACAGATGGTACCGTCAAGCTAGGGAAGACAGCTTAACCTTTGCCCCCATGGAAAGTCATGGAGACTGAGGGAAAATGGTGGCTTGCTATCACTATTGACACCAGGAGGTGAGTAATCTGAAGAAATATATCTGTCGAATTGTTGGGGAAATAGAAGAAAAAGCAAAGGAAGAAAACACAAATACCTTCATTAACAAGTGAAATGAAGCAGAAGTCCATGGATTTTGCGTATGACAAAAGACTTTCAGGGTGACTTTAACATCCCCACTTCCTGGTTTATATACCTTATGTCTGTTCCTCATTAGGGACGAGACTTGCTTGTGATAAAAGAATAGAAAAGCTTAGAAAATATAACTTCTGTGATGGGTGGTGTTACACAAAAAATGTGCCTCCTATCTTGCTAACCTCTGCTCCTCACTATCTCTCCCTCTCAGCAAGTTTTCCATGTTAGGCAGATCCACAAGGCGGGCAGGTAAGCTTGGGACTGGATTCTTCCCCAGCGAAACCTTGATGGAGACTTGCTAGACACCCTGGGCCGACACCCAGTTTGTACCTATAAGACAAGCCAGCTACCCCATGTTTAGCTTTCTGACCTCCAGAAACTGAAATAAGTATGTGTTGCTAGAAGGTGCTGGGGCCATTGGATAGTTATATTTTCAATATGTTAAATGAGTTTGCCCCAAATCTATGTATATCCTCAAATCAATCCTTATGGAATTTTCATGGTCATTCATGAACATGTGCAGAGTGGGGGCACATTTGCATTGCCTGAGAGAGGAACTCCAGCTGAGGTTGAACAGGTAGGGCTATGCCTGTGTTTCATCTTGCCTGCTATAAACAAGTGTCCTTTCCTATGGTTTTCCTTGTGTCCTTTTTTGTTGGTTTCATGATTTAAGAGGACTCCCAAGTGTAGAGATGAAGTACTGTTTAGCATTTCTAAATGCACGAGGACTATGAAGTGTCTTCTTTTGTTATTGTGTTGTTTTGATGCTTGGAATCAGATCTGGGATCTTGAGCATGCTAAACATGTCCCTCACACCTCCAACCCTGGGGCTTGTCTTCTGGAGAGACTACAAACACGTGTAGAGAAGCTCAGTTCTGGCTGGGATATATTCAAGCTGTTGGGCACAAACTCAATAAAGTAAAAGCATATAAGGTATGTGTTTTTAAACACACACAGACACAGAAAGACAGAGACAGAGAAGATATACACAAAGAAAGAGAGAGCGAGTAAGCTACTGTGTTGGTCAGTTGATAGAAATGCTATAACCAGATGTCCCTACTAACCCAGCCCTGTGCTGTGACTCCTCCCTCTAAGATCAGTGTGCACTAATTCATGCTGTGTTGATTTCATAGGACAGAACCATCATGGACAATGAGAATCAACCTCAGCTCGTTAATGGCAATAGATAATGAACATGATGGACAACCAGTATTTCATCTTGCCTACTTAAAGGGGGGGGGGAGAGTTGCAAAAGGAAATCAAGGTCAAGTGTCTAGGGCTGTCTGTTCCTCACTAGGGATGAGACTGCAGAGACAGAGAGCAGTTATTTCTGTCAAAATAGTCATATACTGAAAGAGAAAAGTTTGCTGGTTAAAAAGGTTATTTTAGGGACTGGAAAGATGGCTCAGGCCAGGCAGTGGTGGTGCACACATGGGAAGCAGAGGCAGGTGAATCTCTGTGAGTTCAAGGCCAGTCTGGCCTACACAGCAAGTTTCAGGACAGCTAGGATCGTTACACAGAGAAACCCTGTTTCTCGGTGGGAGGGAGGGAGATGGCTCAGCTGTTAAGGGCACTTAACCGCTCTTGCAAAGGACACAAGTTTGATCCCAGCACCCGTGCTGGCTCATAGTCACTTGTAACTCCAGTTTCAAGAGTTGTTCTTCCTAGGCACTGTGTGCACATAGTGCACATATAGGCAGGCAAGCAAGCAAGCAGGCAGGCAGACACACACACACACACACACACACACACACACACACACACACACACTTAAAAAAACAAATAGATCTTTAAAGAAGGTTATTTTGGGCAAATGTGAATGAGGCTATCTAGGAACATTAGCCCCACAGAGCACCTTCCGCTCTGTAAAGCCCAAAGCTGTGTGGTGGGTCAGTATTTCAGAGTCATCAGATGAATTCAAAGCTCCCTGACTGTCTAGAAGGATGAGATGGGCGGGAGCAGCTCCTGGCAAGGCTTATGCACACTGACACAGCCAATGGCAGCGAAAGGGCACAGGAGACGACACAAAAGGAACAGCCCTTTGGAGACCCAGACGGCCTAAGCACAGCTTTTCCATGACCTCCTCCGAAAGGCACGGCTTTGATGACTGAAAGCTTATTCACTCTATAAGACTCCCTTTTATTTGAATTATTAATTAAGCTCCCCATTTCACCCCTCATCTCACACCCTGCACTCACTCCAATGAGTGGGCTAAGTCCTTGAAAACACATGGGTTTGCATAATGCCCGTCTTTGTTTAGCATGTGAGTATTTTGGGATTTTTTTCTTGCCTACCTCTACCCTGTGATTTAAGTGTTTCTCTGAATGTGTAGCTTGTTGCTCTTTGCAGCTGTGCCGTGTGAAACAGTGTGCGCCCCCCTCATTCTGCCCAGTCTACGCCCAGTTTCCATCTCCTTAGACTGCAGCAGCAAAATGAAACATAACTGTCCACTTTGTTAGTCTGGCATTCTTCTTTAGTCTAGGATTAGTTCAGTGTTCTCTTCTTCCCCTCCTTTATTCTAATCCATCAGAACTCATAGATCCTGACTTTTTGTTAACGTGTTTGTAAATTCAGAGCGCTGTGACTTCAGGACTGATTCCCGGCTGGGTATATGTGGTGCTGGGGATTGAATTGAGGGCCTTGCACACACTAGGCGAGCACTCTACCTATTGGCCGCACCCCCAGTCTCCCACAACTGTTTATTTAGTTAAAAAGTGTAATAGTGGTTTCTAACTCTACTTTTGCCTAAAAGCTATGAAAGTTCAACAAACAAAAAACTCCAGGGAGAAAAAAAAAAAACAACAACAAAGGGAGGAGAGAGAACTGAGGTTAAAATGACAAATGCCAGCTGGGTGGTGGTGGTGTATACCTTGAATCCCAGCATGTGGGAGGCAGAGGCATGCAGGGATCTCTGTGAGTTCGAGGACAGCCTGAACTACAGCCAGTGTGGTTACACAGAGAAACCCAATCTCTAAAAAACAAAACAAACAAAAATGACAAATGCCTCTTTGCATGCATGCATGCCTGTGTGAAATTGTGTGTGTGTGTGTGTGTGTGTGTGTGTGTGTGTGTGTGTGTGTATGTGTTGCTGGTAATCAAATAGAGAACCTTGTTCATTCTGAGCACATGTTTTTACCACTGAACTATACACCCAGCCCTAAGTATATTTTTTTAAAAATAAATATGTTATAAAAAGTCAAGTGATAGAGAAAGGTACAATAAAGTAACCATGCAGTAAGGGAATAGTTCCAAAATGAGAAGCTATTTACCCAAATAGTAAATGATACATTTTGAAGGTACAAAGAAATGACATGAAAGGTGATACTAGAAAGAGAATAACATAGTTTAGATGGCCAGGAAAGCCACAATATATACAGTTTGTCTGTGGCAAGGGCCAAGCATATCATGTTCCTGCTAAGGGAGGCCACAGAGAGTTTCACTAAGTTGAAAAAGGAAACCACAACATGTGGAATCTATTTTTATTTCTGAGTTACACAGCCAGGGTATATAGCTATATTGTGTTCTTACATATATTTTATATTTTTAATCCATACTATTTAAGTAGTATTTGTTTACCAAAACAAATCTAATATATACTTTACTCTGAGCAATCCAATACATGTAGAAAACTCTTTCGATATATAAAAGGTTAATTTGTGCACACATAGATATCCTAAAGTAGCAGATCACAGGGGCATTGTGATAAGACAGGAGTTATGCAGAACCATAAAGGAACCCTCGAAAGTACATCCTAAGAATGGAGGCTAAGGAAAGTGACGTCCTTGCTCATCAGTATGCCCTAGGGAGGAACCTTATATAACACTGTATGGCTTCAACAGGAACTTTGGGACTTTTCATCCCTAGTTGTTGCCCCCAACATCTTACTCTTCATCGACAATTTTCTGTGCAGATTTTGTTCCATCCCTTAGTCAAAAGCCAGCTAAACAGTAGCTGCTACTTAGAATGAAAACACCACTTTGGCCCCAATGATGCCTTGGTGTTCCCTTAACTACAAATCGACAGGAAAAAGTGCAAAGCAGTTCCCGGCAGTCTGAACCAAAGCAAGAATGCTGGGGGTACAGGCACTAGAGCTGAGCAATGCAAGAGTTATATCTACCTGCTTATGGGATATTTTGGGAATTTGCCAGAAGTCTACTCATTTGATGAACATGGTAGCTTTTCTCTAGTACGTGCAGTTAAAGTAACTTGTTTTGAAGATAATAAGATAGCATAAGCATAAATATTGGAATGGTATTACAGCCCAGGATATTTCAAACATCATTTATTTGAAAGATGCTCACATTAAATTTACTACGTCATGTCCCCTGAGTGATCTTCCATACATAGGCTGGACAATATCAAAGAAAATGTAAATGGTAGGACTGTTACCACATCTAGTTGGCTGTGTAAAACATTCTCTCTCGACAGTGCCATATCTACAGATTTGCTGTGTTGAACTCTAAGGTCCTCATGACTTCATGGGTTCAACATGGCTGGGGAACCTGTAATTCATCTTCCAAATGGGATATGAAGGAATTAATGTGCTAAGACATGTGAGCAAATCATAATATTGGGTAGCTATCTATATTCAAGCCATGATGTTCAGGATTGGACATCCAAAGGTCAGGGCAGGCTGTGAAAGCCTGATTCTGGGGTTTTTCTATGAAAATAGCCAAATGTAATGAAGGACATTAAAAAAAAAGACAAAGATACCAAGTTGAATGGGATCAATAGGTGAATCTAGATGGTGATATGGAGGTTTATGAAGGAAAGGTAACTGGCCCATGTATATGGTGTGAGCTTGGATGGAAGACCAGATTAGAAACAGACATGAATCAAATGGAGTCAGAGAAACCCACCACCCACACAACTAAGTCTCCCTGCTGTGGGGACTTCTCCAGGGCTCAGAGTGTAGACAGCTCTCCTCAACACAGCCATCAGGCAGGGACATCTTCACGCCATCTTGGTGTCTGCCATTTACTAGGTAACAGGTGAGTTTGGACCTCAAGATGAGCTTTCTGGATAGCTTCAGCTTGAGTCTGGCCATCGTGTGCTTCTGTGAGAAGGACCCTCACTTTTCTCAGAGGATCATGGGTGATATTTCGCTGTCTGTAAATGGCAAATTTTTCTTTACCCGGCCGAACATGGTGGTGTTACAATGCCAGCACTTGGGAGGCTGAGGCAGAAAGATCACCACAAGTTTGAGTCTGGTTTGATCTACATAGTGAGTTCTCGGCCAATTAGGGCTACATAGTGAGATTCTGTCTTGAAAGAAATGTTTTTGACAAAAACAAATGAATTTACAGTTGTTCCTGCCCACTCAGTTAGAGAAAGCACTTAAATAGATACAAAAGGTGCAGAGGCCAGGTTGGGAATGGGTATATCTGGTAGATATCTGGTAGCATAGGGGTCAGCATGTTTTTTTTTTTAATTTCCTCTAATGATAGTGTTTTTGCTTTGTAGAGAACTGTCTGTTGTCACTACTCCATTCTGGAGAGGAAGGCATGAGAGAAGTCTTAATATGAAAACAAATGTGTCTCCCTGTGTTTCAGTTGCGTTTTATTTCAGAACACTAAAATCTGTAACATTTCCTAGTATGGTTAAGCATGGCTAATTGAAGGAAACCACCTTCACTTGTAGTGGAGCCCTACACTTTGCATAGCTTGCCATCTGTTAGAGATCCACAGATTAGAAATTACACTGGCAATTTAAAGGGTATATAAAAACAAGATACAAACTATTTAGTAAAGGCTAGTATATACTTGCATTTAATTTTAAACCTCTGAAAGCAGGTTGCTTTTGCAATGCACATGAGTGTTAATTTTGGATGATTCAATGTTACCAAATAATGTTTGAGTTGGCCACCTTGGAATTGGCAATTGAAGTTTAAAGGTTTGAACCTGCTTTGTGGCCTGAAGCATAATAGTTAGCTACTCACAATTTGATATTCATCTTAACTTTCACAATATGAAGTTCTCCAAAGATCATTAGGGAAATAATGTCCTAAAACAGCCATTGCATGCAGCTTTGTAAAGTAAAGCTTACATGGGTTAGAAAGTCTATGTTCTCTGAAAAATTAAAAGAAGACTCGAGTAGACAGGGAAGGAGCAGGTACCTTAGCTGATGAGTGTGTCATAGCTGTCTGTCTGTCCTAACCAGACTCAGCATTTCATAGAGTCTCTAGAGAACTGCATTCCCAGGACAAGGCAAGCCCTTTGCATCTTAAATCTAGAACAAGCTCTATAGGGAAATTCAGTCTATGGACATGCATCTACTTCTGTCCAACAGCGGAGTTAGGCTATGCTTTTGGTAAAAGCCAGTCTAAGGAACCAAGTCCCAATGCACCAAGGGTTAACAGAATATTAAAATGGAAGGTTCTATTTTCTTGCTAAGGTTCAACTAAAATTGTTGAGGCACGTAATTGGCAAAATAGGAAAATACACAACATTTCATAAAATATTTTAACAGTAAACAAATTCTTTTCATATTTGTCCCCCCTTGAACATTTCCAATGGTACCAGGTGGCGCAAAGAGGAGAAAGATGACACGAGCCCTGTCTCTTCCAGGTAGGCATGTTCCAGCAGAACCACGAAGCAGGAAGTGATCCCTCCTCCAGCTGGCCAGCTAGGGTTTTTCTTTCAGCTTCAGGTCAATACTAGGTTGAAGAGGAATGGGGAGAGAAAACACACCAAATGAGGAGTGTTCAGTAATAATTTAGGTGTCACTCATTTGCATCTTTCTTCAAATATCTTAAGGAAATCACCAAAGATTTTTTTATGCTAGAAAACCATCTATCAGTTAAGTTTTTCTATAAAGTATTGACTCTGGGGGCTGGAGCAATGGTTCAGATGGTTCGGTGGTTGAGATTACTGGCTGCTTGGTCTTCCAGAGGACCTGGGTTGGATTCCCAGAACTCACATGGCCATTCATAACCATTTGTGACTCCAGTCCTGTGGAATCTGGTCCCTTCTTTAGCTTCTATGAACACAAGGCATACACATAGAGCACAGACATGCATGCAGGCAAAATACCCATACACATATAGATAAATATTTTAAAAATGAAAATATTGACTGGTTCTTTTTTTACAAAATTGCTTCTGGAAGCATTTTCCACCTTTTCAAAAGGGTCCAGAAAGGAAGGGTTCATGTTAAACCTCAAACCTAAAGTCAAATTAGATAAAGAAGGTTACAATGCCTTCCTATTTTTAGTGGATCACTTTTCTTTCTTGTGATGTCAGCTTTTGGTGTCCACTTGACTGGAGAGTTGTACAGCACCATCCCCCTCCTCTCCCCCCCCCCCCCCCCTGTGTGAGTGAGTGAGAGTGTGTGTGAATACATCCACCACGTGAGTCTAGACTCACTGGTAAAGACCCATCTTGAATGAGGGTGCCACTGTCTACCAGACTGGGTGCTGGATGGACTGGAAAGGGAAGAAGTCAGATAGGGCTTGCTCTCTCCTCACACTGTCCCTTCCTGTCTAGAAATCTTTTCTCATGCAGTTGCTTGTGGACCTCAGACTCGGGGATCTTTGATCTTTGAACAACAGCTCATACCAGCAGCCCCCACCCCTCTAAAGAGACTTCATCCTTGAACTGGGGCTGCATACTGGTCTCTGGGTGTCTAAGCAGCAACTTGCTTTCCTGGCTTTTCTAGCTCCTCTCCAACACGGAGTAAACATTCTTGGGGTTGCATGAGTCTCTCCTCTGCCTTTTAGTGAACATCATGTAACTGTCTTGTACATTCACCACACAGGAAGAGAGCTTGAGCCAGTGAACAGCCAGCAAGAGAACTCCAATCACAATAAAAAGAGGAATGAGTAATTTGAAAGCAACATGCTAGGAAGTCTGGATTTCTCTCTGTCCCTTTTGGTCATCAGTCTGCGTGAGGGTGGACATTCATGTGGCCGCAACCAAGTCTTCTAGTAACATTACAGACAAAGCTACTTTAACGTAGGCCTCTTGTCTGTCTAGGGTGCCCTAGGGTGGTGTTTTTCCTTTGAAATTCCTTCAGTGACATCAGCACTTAGTATCTGTGCACATTTGACCGTATCACCTCCAACTCCCATTTCTGGATTGTATCACATTGAGATAGTTTGACACAATCTGTCTCACGGCTAGTAAAGGAGTAGGTCTAACTTAGCAATAATCTTCTCTGCTTAGGGAGTTTGAAGAACCGGCTGTGACAGATGCGATGAGGGGCCAGCTCAAAGGCAGTCAGGCACTGGTAATTTACTTGTTCCTTATGCCTTCAAGGATCTGACTTGTTATCTGCAGGACTTTCCTTGGGTGGTGTCTTCGTTCATGGGCTAGACTCCCATATCTGTTCCTCACATACTTTTACAAAGTAGGTAATTTTTCTTTTTTAATTGCATTTACTTCTACGATGTTATAAAATATGCTCAGAAGTCAGTGCTAGGTCTCAGCTGGTAGCTGGAGTTTAATTTTTTTTTCCTCTCATGAAGTTGGCTCAGATTTCCACTGAAAACACAAAGACATTCACTAATCTCAAACTGCATAGAGTTTAGAGAAGGCTGTCACTGTGCTTTGCAATCTTGGCCTTTGACAAATACCTGATCTGATATACTAGAATGTATATCTCCAACACTTTGGTTTTTGGTAACTGAATAGCTGAGAGACTAAAGCCTGTTTACTCAGCGTGTGCAAAGAGCAACTGTGGACAACTTCCTGATAAGTCTGCACAGGAAGCCACTCTACAGATTGCTTTTGAGACAAGAGCTACCTTGTGGGGTTAATGAAGCCACTGATAATGCACCTAATTTTTAAAATGCATCACAAATATAAATAGTTGTGCTATAACTTTGTGATATGAATGAATAAAATCCAAACCTAAAGTAAGGGAGAAAAGCATTAAAAATGGTTTCCTAACAAAATGTCCCTTTTGAGAATGACACTGATGACAACTTTGACAAGAATTGAATATAGATGGGGGATTCATCCTGTCCGGGGAGATGAGCTTAGCTGTTTGTAACCAACTTACCAACCTGGCCCTGCACAAGAATGACCTACCATTCAGTGAAAGGCTGTTCTCACTTCTTGAATGCATTAAATGAGGTTTCTTACAAGGTATGTGGCAATCTTGTTTAATGGCAATTAAAAATACATGTGTTTTATGGAGGAGTGGCAAGGAAGGTATAATGTACCTTCTCTCTGGAGAATGGGAGGCTGCTATAGACCCTTACATATCTCATTTCACTTCAATCTTAGCCCAGTGGAGCCCCTTGAAAGAGCTTGTGCCCAATTTGCATTTCATCCATTCAGTGCTAGCTACAGGTGTAAAATGCTTCCATGTAGGACCCTTCCACCTCCCCCAAAGCCAGGAGAAGGTGAACAGAGCCCACTTGTTCTAACATTCATTCCAATGTTAAACCAAGCAAACAAACAAATGCAGGTCTAGAGGTCAGGGGAGAAAATTCTTGACCACTCTTGTTCCCCATCTAGGATCTCATCCTGCTGGCTGCGGAGATGATATGCTTGGTAGGAGCTCAGGAAAGATAGGGATGAAGAAAAGGGAAACTTCTAGAGCGTGTGTTCTTCTAAGAACGGGAAGTAACATCAACAGTTGGCAGCATGCCCCCTCCCCCCACCCAGCCCTGGAAAGAGCCCAAACAGGAATAGATGAGCTGCCTTCTTCATACACCCCATAGCCCTCAACCCAACGAGGAGCACATAAACAAGGTGGGCAGAGGAGTGGGTAAGCCCCAAGATGTAGCAGCAACAGGCCAATGAAGGGCAAGCTGAGCTGTGGGCGCTGTTAAGTGTTCAGGAGTCATGGCTTTGCAACAGGAGGAAATGCCGTGTTTGAAAAATGGATTGCATGGACTTAGAGACTGAGATATGTTTGCTTTGCAAAAGCAATTTGCTTGAGGTAATTGGTGCTGTAATCTCAAAAGTTGGGAGAAGAGTGGCCTTTAGGAAATAGCTACATGATTTGTAAGGTTTCCTTACAACCGTCATCCTGCCCTTTGATCCTTTTTTGAGTTGGGACTCAGTGTTTTGTCCCTAAACTTCCTTTAAGCCGTAAGGTCAACTAGGCAGCTGCAGACACTGCACTGTGCTTTTCCAACTTCTCTTTGGACTTGAAGGAGACAAACAGAGGCAAGGGAGATATGCTTAAGTTGATCTTTGCCTGCCTTTCTTGGTCCCTGGGAACAAAGACAATCCTAAATTCAACCACTTAAGTTGAATTAGGCGCCTCCTGCTGGATGTCAAATTTTCTGAGATTATATTACTGACCACTGTTACATGAAACTGACTTGGCCACTCCTATGTGAGCAGTTTCTGTCCTGTGTTAGATGAGAAGCAGCAAGCACTTCAGCACAGACCCCTCTCTGATTAGAAAGCCATGGACTCTAGGTCTGCAAGGTCAAGCTTCAAATCCCACCTTGAGGCCTTTTTAATGACAGCAAAACATTGGCCAGTCATATACTTTATGCACAGTTCCTTTTTCTCTGTAAAATGTACTTCATAAGCTTCCTCTAGGATGAATCTCAGGCACTGTGTGCGAACTTCTTAGTGTCTGGCATAGTCTAAGGACTCTATGCATGTCCAGTTTCTGTTTCTTACAGGACAGTCATATCCAGCTACAAATTTCCAGAAGTCCCAGGCAGGTTCAATTGCCTCTTGGAATTTGCAAAGCAAAGATATTTCTTTCCTATCCACCAAGATATTAAATCCACATGGAAGATTGAGCTTTTTCTAACTGCAATGGATAATGTAATTCTGAAAGCAGAGTCACATTCCTTTTGCCCCAGTTTTCGTACAACTGGCCCCCCAAATGCATTTGCTCATTTTTGGAGTGGAAAGGTGGAATGTCGGATTAAGTATTCAGTTGTCCTTTGTGGCAATCACTAAGACAACAGTAGCTGGCAAATGTCTCTGCAATTAGTCATTCCAGGAATAGAACCCATGAAAGCTGAACATCTCAACGGGTTTACCCAATCCTGGATGCATTGGTTTCCCTTTGAGTCCAGCCATACAATACTACATGTAACCACATGGCTATTACTGATGGCGAGTTCTTACTCCTTCTCCATAGAAGTCATTTCCGGATCGTTGTAAAGGCAGCTAGTTCTGAGTGCAAGGGAAAACAAACAAAAAAACAGACAAACAGGAAGTCGTCAACATTTTCTCCCTCTTATTTCCATGTCAGCATCACTGGCTGGGGCATTTGAAACTGTTTAATGTGGTACCATTTGCTGCTCCTTTGATTCTCAAATCTATAACAGAACAATTGATGCTATTAACTTTTAGCATCAGGTTTGAGATATAGTCATTAATCAAGATATAGAAATATAAAAAGATCATAGTAACAAAACTTCAAATACCTCCAGTGGTTATCTGTCAGAGCCACTTTTTCTTACTTTTTAAATCTGTTCTTATGCAGTGAATATAAATATTTAAAAAATTTATGTACTAAAAACAAAAGCAAATCTTTTAAACAGCTGAATTTTTATTTTTAGACATAACACAGCAGCCTTCAGGGTTCACAAGAATGAGGATTTTCCAAGGCATGGAAAGAAAAGACTGCCTGGGCCAGCTCTGTTCCATGTGGTTACAGGACAGGAGTAGGACACTTACTATTCCCCGGGGCTAAGCAGTGCTCAGGTGGCTCTCACGAATCCTAACACTACCTAAACGGGTCAGGTCCAGGGAGAAAAGTGTAGCCACAGAAAAGAATAATGCAATCAAAGTTTGCAATACTGTGTATGTCTTTGTGTAACTTAGCTGTTCAGGATATCCATATCAGGGTGATAACTATGCTAACAGACTTCAAGTCCACCTTATATCAATTCCTAATGCTTAGTATACTGAAGCTTTTACTTTTCTCCCCTCTCCTCTGGTAATTTTTTAAATGGGAAAAATGGTTTAAAAGATTTTATGATCCTTTGTACTTATTTTTAAAAAAGATTTAAAATGTACGAGTGTTTTGCTTGCATGTATGCATGTGTGCCTGCTGCCTGCAGAGATCAGAAACTGGGTCCCCAAGAAATGGAGTTACAGCGAACTGCCATCTGGGTTTTGGGCACATAAACCAGGTCCCCTCGCAGAGCAGCAAGTGCTGCCAACTGCTCAGTTACCACCTCAGTTGAACTGATCTTTTTAAACACATGGGTTCCTTTTCCATTGAGAATAACTGGACTAGCTTATTTTCCATTTGCATGAGGGTCTGTGGCTAGTTCAGTATTTTCTTGAAAATATCAGGAGGCTGTTTCCCTTGCTGGGCATTGCGTGTCCCCCCCCCCCCCACTGGTGGTCTGGTATTTTTATGGAGAAAGTTTGGTGACTCTAGAAGGCAAGGACAGCAGAGTAAGTACTGACAGTGAGTTAGCAAAAGTCAGCAAAGCTGGACCAGAATCAAGACAGGGCAAGCTTCTGAGCCCAGCCTTTCTGCTTTTTAACTGGGGGGGTCTCTGCAAAGGAAACAACAATTTGCAGACATGTTAATACTACCACAGGAAAGGCAGTGGATGGATTAGTCCCCATTTGGAACGAGAATGGGTTTGTGTATAGTAAAGACCCTTCCAAAGTATTTTCTGCTCTTGTTGGGGGGTCTAAAGTTCAAAAGAAAGCTGTTCAACTCTCCGAGGGGGTTAATGGGACATGGTGTGTGCACACAGGGGAGAGGGAGAGGCTTTAAAATGCTCTAAGTAAGAGAACACAATAGGCAGGGAGGCGCTGTTCTTTGATATAGTACATATCTGACTCAGGTAGAGCCAGTGCAAAGCTTTCTAACCAAGCCACGTGGACAGTCCGGGCATCAGTGAACAGAACAGGGAACAGCTAGCTTCCAACCTCAGATAAGCAGGGAGCACAGATTTTGAGCCAACAGTCATCTACAGAGTCTGCCTTAGGATTTAGGGGCTGTATCAGAGGCTAACACATAGCTAAGGAGGTACAATGGGCATCAAAATGGTTAGATTTTGAGACATTTCAAGCCCCTGTGGGACCAGCTGTGGTGGCACATGCCTTTAATCCCAGCACTTGGGAGGCAGGGCAAGTGTATCTCTCTGAGTTCAAGGTCAGCCTGGACTACAAAGAAAGTTTCAGGCCAGTAGAGGCTATAATAGGGAGACTCTGTCTCAAAAACACCAAGAACAAGAAAAGCACTAAAAGCCAATTTCTGTGGGGTTAACAGAGCTCAATTCATTTTCCTCATATATACCCAAATGTGAAAGCTCTTTGGTTTAACCATCAAAAGGAATAGGAACAATTGGGGTGGGGTTCTTCTGGGAAATAGTTTATCTAATAAATCTGCATCAAGATGGCTAAGGCCATCTAATTATTTTTATTCAGGCATTCTTAATGAAAAAGATTCAGATTTTAGGCAAATAATTCTGTAGGTTACCTACATCAAAAATATATAGGCAAAAAAAAATAACAGAAACAAAAACATCTAAATGGTGTGTTTTAAGGAGGAACTAGCATTCATCACCATACAGGAAAAAGCCTCACTATTAGCATTTACTCAGAATTTATAACAGCCGTGAACATAGTTCAGGCTTTTTGCTTTTGTTGTAAAGATTAACAGTATAAGCAACATTTAAAATGGTGAAGAAGTTTAATATCCTCAATACATCAGACTTTCTGGATAGCAGCCATACACATTTAACTCATGATCTCAGAAGATTTCTTTGTGGCCTTGAAAATGAACAAAGAAAATGACTAGGGTCTCTTCCCAGTCAGCTCTGGCCCAACATTTCAGGGTTGTCCCTTAGTGCCACAAGGGCAGAAGTTAACTTGTAGATTTATATTCTGCAGTGATGCAGCCATCTCTATCCAGTGGGAAAGATAATCTGACATTAGTGTATTGTCCTACTGAACATTAATTAACTTGCTGTCTAACCAAACTATCTTATGCAAACAGCCTTTTATAAATTCCCTATACCACATATCTGCAATTGCACTTTTTACAGGTTCAGTTATGGAGAGCCATAATGCTCTGAAAATACCAAATGGAAAATTATGGAAAAAAATTACTCATAAGTCTGAAGTAGCTTCTGTCATAGTATGTTACCTAGTGTGAATCACAGGTGTGTTTGCATAGGAAAACAGATAGTGCAATCAGCGGTTGGAACCATATATGGTTTCAGGTATCCATGCAGTACCTTGGAACAAGGGAAGAAGCGACTGCCACAGGTGTACCACTTAGTTCTCTCCCAGTTCATGGGAACTCGTTACTGGTTCCTTCACTAAATAATTCATCAAGTAACAATATTTGACATGCGTTCATTTTATGTTTTCCCAACCGTACATCTTTGCCTTTTTCAGTATCGTGCCTCACAAGACTGAGCAATGCCCACTCCCAATCAAAATAGCTTGGAAACTATGAGTTAAGTGATAGTTCTTCAAGACTAAATCAAGCATTTGTTTATCTTTACTATTATTTTATGTGTATGGATATTTTGTTTGCATGTGTTTGTGCATTACACATATAAAGTGCCTGCAGAAGTCAAAAGAGAGTTTGGGATCCCTTACACCTGGAGTTATAGATAGTTGTGAGCCATCATGTGGGATTAGAACCCTGGTCCTCTAGAACAGCCAGTGCTCATAACGGTTGGACCATCTCTCTAGCCTTAGAGTGTTATTTATATCTTGGAAGGCCATGAAACTAACTCTACAAAAACTTCCTAATTTTTATTTCCTACTGTTTCTCCTAACATGAACTGGAGTAGTTCTGTTGCCCTGCTGTATCTAAAGGGCCATTCAGATGCAACACTCTATGTGACAATACCTGGATATGTGTTTAGTGGTGATATCTAGAATTTCAGATACATTAAAAATAAATTAAACAGTGACAAATGCTTTCCTTAAGTTAACCAAGATTGTGGGGGGAAATGGATTATAATAAAAACATCAGTGATTACACTGACAGTAGGAGAACGGGAAGTTTCAAGATGCAGCATTATTATCGGGGCAAGATGAAAAGCAGCCATGCAGCTTCTCCAGTCATTCCTGAAACGCAAGCCAACATCACACCAGCCGCAAAACCAAAACCAAGGCTTACTTAGCTGTTTCTGATGCTTCCCTCAGTTCTTCGTCCAGTCTGCACGAGCAAAAATTATCGTTGGAGAAAACAAACAAACAAACAAACAAAAAGCAAGCAGAGCGTGAGCGTCTCCCACAAAGCAGAGGCAAACGTAAGTGGTGTATATTCACCCCCCCCAAAAAAAACTGTCTCCAGATGCACTGAGACACACTCAGCTAAGCATGGTGGCATTCCTTCCTGTTGGGTGGTCCTGTCTGTTTACTTTGCAAATCTCTTCACAAAGATGATATAGATGTCACCAGGGAATGAGGAACATGCTGGCTGAATAAAGCTCAGACCATCCATATCAGAGTGCATGTTGAAGTTAACTCACAGCCTGGGCCAAGTCAGGGGTGTGTATCTGGTTTAGTAGGTTTCAGTAGCAGATCAGGTTGACCTCAACAGCTTTACACTCAGGACAAAGACTTTGAGGGGAATTCAAAGGACTGGTACAACAGACTTCCTCAGGCAGCATGTTGAGGTCACCCACAAATACAACACTGGAGTACACACACAGGGGGTCCAGCGTGAATACAGATCTTGAGATTTTTACCTCACACTTCTTTTAAAAGATTTTTCTTCATCGTACCTTACAAGATAAGAAATGGATGCCATGAGGACAGTGAGGAACATGAGGAAAATGACAGGTAAATGATTTAAACCAGTGGTTCTAAACCTTCCTTAATGCTGCAATCATTTAATACAGTGGTGACTCCAACCACAAATCATTTTGCTGTGCTTCATGGCTGCAGTTTTGCTACTGTTATGAAGTGTAATGGAAATATTGATGTGCAACCCTCAATGGGGTGGCAACCCACAGGTTGAGAACCACTGCTTTAAACAGTAAGAACACGAGAGACAAACGCTTACCTAGACAACACGATTGGCTTTGAAGAGAAAACTTACTTGTATTAGCCACAATTAACAATTTACAATTCATAAATATACTGTGAATCCTTGCTACTTGTTGGTTCCGTATCTGCAAATTTGCCTGTTTACTAGGACATCTTAAATTTTCAGAATCAATGTGCAGTACTTTTGTTCACTTGTGGACATGACAAGGTGACAAAAATTCACGTTGCCACCTCTGCACACAATCAGTAGAAGTCCAGCAGGAAAAGTCTGTGCCTTCCTAGCTATATAGTTTCTTGGGTAAATGTTAACCTCATTTTTATGCTTTTGGCTGATGATCATGCTATTTAAAACAACAGTCAAGCATGTTACCAAATATCACCTACTGTTTGTAAGAACAAGATGGACAGCATGCCTCACAGAGAATGTGTGTGTGTGTGTGTGTGTGTGTGTGTGTGTGTGTGTGTGTGTTCTAGAACATTGTTTTAGATACAAGTTGTAGTGCTGGGGCCTTGAGTGCAAGATTTGGTTTGTTTTGCTGTTTGTTTGAGAACAAGGGTCTTGCTGCGTAGCCCAGGCTGGCGTCAGATGCTGGCTCCTTGTGTTTCAGTCTTTGAGTGCTGTGATCACACACAGTTGCCATTACACCGAGCTGAGCACACAGACAGTGAGTCAACAGGATGTGCTGACTAAAGTTTTCTCAGACAGATACACACATGAGCCAAGGTTATGTACTGGTAGGGGACGAAGACATTGCAGGCAGATAGGATCTCAGGCCTGTATTTCCCCCAAGAATAACTGCTCAGTGTCCACTGTGTGTCTACAATGACTTCATTTAACACAACTGTCCCTGGCTAATGAGAACCAACTGTAGTGAATGAACATAAACTGCATTTCAGCCCATTGATGTCAGGCTCCACCCAGTTGAACTCTGGTCTTGGGAATGCTTGGGATCAAATGCTTTGGATGTTATTCAGTGCAAGAAAATAGCTATGGCTATGGCAATGTGAAAATGAAGCAATGAGGGCTAGTAAAAGAAATGGCAGAAAAGATGCCCTGAAATGTATCATAACGGCAGGAGGAAACACAGATGGGGTACAGTAGTGGCGGGGGACACACGGGGCTAGGTTCCTCCTCCAGAAAATGAATCTTTCTAAATAGAACTCTTTCTCTTGACGCAACCTTTCCAAAGTACAGCCCTTGAGAATAGAAGGAAATTTCTTGGCCATGTCCAGCTTCTCAGTAGACCCCCTCCCCAGTCAAGTGCAGTAATTCTCCAAAGCAATGCAATTATAATCATCAGCACTGTAGCTCTGAGTATAGTAATTCTCCAAAGCAATGCAATTATAATCACCAGCACTGTAGCTCTGTGCTCTCAGTCTCTTGCTCACTGCTCTCATTCAATCCTCAGCCCAACCCATGCTCTGAGAATTACTCTTCCATTTTATGGATGTGAACACTAAACTACTGGGGATTTTCATAGGCTTCCTGAAATTCATATCCACTAAGAAGACAGAATGTCGCCGGGCATTGGTGGCACATGCCTTTAATCCCAGCACTCCGGAGGCAGAGGCAGGCGGATTTCTGTAAGTTCGAGACCATCCTGGTCTACAGAGCGAGTTACAGGACAACCTCCAAAACAATACAGAGAAACCCTGTCTCGAAAAACAAAACAAAACAAAAAAGACAGAATGTCCTTGTCATCTTTTGCAAAGGTATAGAAATACAGGAGATGATTGACAAATGAAGAGAACGGGAGACAGAAACTAGTCAGGTATTCATGTGTTTTTGTCACAGCCTCAAAAAGGAGCAGTTCTGATTTTTGTCCTTGAACAGAAGCCAGAAATGTCTGTAGTTCTATCCTGGCTAAATGCAAGTATGTTTAGGGCCTATTGTCCTGGTCTGGTTTCTTATTATCTTTTCTCGTTCACACAGCAAGGAATACTGTTGTCTGGAAGCTATAGATGAGGCTGTGACAAAAACTGTCACATGAATACCTGGTGGGTGGGACAACTGGGATGACAAGACCTCCCCTCATGCCCCATCCTCAATCTAGAAAAGCCTTCTTAAACCCCTAGATAGGGCATTTGATGGTGTCCTTCCTTAGGGCCTGCTCTTTAATATACAGGTACTTTGCTGGCATCTCATCTATAAGCTCTCATATGAACCTATAATAAACTCCTTTCTAAAACTCACCTTCCCCATTGTCTGTGAAATTCATTCTATGAGTCTGTGAGACAAAGTACCCAGAAGCCACTAGCCTGGGGTGACTCTTGCTGCCTGTAAGTTTTCCAGGACCCTAGGCACTGCCCCAACAGCTACAGCTTGCCTGAGTTTCCATTGCTCCCAAGCACCCCCACTTACTATATATCAATATTAATCTTGGCTGAAAAATATGATCAAAATAAATTGCATGAAATAAAAAATTTTAAAAGTCAGTAACTAATCATTATATTGTATGAAAGAGGCCCCAGCGAAAGCTTGATTTATTAGATAATACTTAATATTTCCTTTAAAAACCAGATGCCATGTCTCATTGCTCTAGAAGCGTTTCTCACCTCCTCTTCCTCTTCCAATGTGTGTTATTTCTCACCAACACTCCAGGCCCTCAGACTTACCTGACGATGCTCTCTGGGATGTGGATACAATCCATTGGGATCAGCCCACTGAGTTCAGATAAACTACTAACATACTTAATTTTACTGCTGAATTTTGAGCTGCAAGAGGAAAAAGGAGAAGAGCCTCATATCATCAGTTGCTACACTTCCCTCACGAAGCCATTTTCTCTTTTCTACATTACTGGTTATAGGACTCTCACACATACTAAGCATACACTCTGCCACTGGCCTACACCCACATCCTGAAATCTTGCTAGGCTCAAGCTTGACCCAGCAAGCTTACTGAGCCCAAAGAATAACAACATCTCAGCCACTATTGTGAACCAAGCACTACTTTGTTACCATTTTTTAACATTTTTATTTTTTGAGAAGTTTATACATGAGCATTGCATCTCCATCACGGCTGTCTTTCCCCTCCCCACCCCAAAATGAAGATTTCTTCTTTACTGTTGTTATATACTATAGATAATATGTAGCTATATATAAAATATGTCAATTAGAAACAGTAGGAATTACCATCACTGTTTTTTTAATTGACAAAGAATTATATACGTATTTCTTTCATACACAGCAGGTACTCTGACTTACCAAGTGCTTTGTGGAATAGCTCATTTGTGCTAGATGACACATGCCACTTCACCTACTCATTTTTTTGTAGTGAAAACATTTAGAACCAACCTTCTTAGAAATTTGAAAATATGAAACTTTTTATTAATGCTAGCCATCATGTTATGTAAGGGCTTCCTTGAACTTTTTTTATTTTCTATTGGAATCGTGCACCCTTTGAGCATCTTACAACATTGGTCCCTTAAATTTACCATTCTACTTCCTACTTCTATAAGTTCCATGATTTTGGATTCTACAGACAACTCTCCCTCACCATTCATGGGTGACTGGTTCCAGGAACCATCACCAACCCCCAGATGCCTTGGATCCAATAGTGCAGTGTCAAGACCATATAAGCAGTTGTTTGACTGCATGTTTAGGGGGGAAAAGCAGTTAAAAAACCCTCAGGGAAAAATGTGTTTTCAGAGATTTTTTACATGTGTGATATTTGCTAACAGTGGTTAACCTGTACTTGCAGACCCCACTGATGCAGAGGGCAGAGAACACTCTTAAACATGGTCCCTTTGCAAAATGAGAAATGCACCATGCCTGAAACATATCTGAATAGCAAGCATACAGGATCCCTATTTCAAGTGGAAATCAATATTGGGGCAGGAGATTGGCTGTATTTTGCAGCCATGCTTATGTTTCTGGGAGAGTCAACATTTTTCCACAAATGCAATCCTATCACTAGCAAAAGTCCAGTCTTTTCGGAGGTCCCAAGACATGATTTATGACACACAGCTGCACGTGAACAGAGTAGCTCCCGGGGAAACAGAAGCATCTCTCTCCAGTGTGGGCTCTGCCCCACCCCCACACATTTGGATCCTTTTGGATGTGAGTTTTGAATAATCCTATTTAACTTTTTCTTGTTTTTTTTGTTTGTATTTTTATAAAAATTTTTTCATACAATGTGTTTTCATCATGCTTTCCCTTCCCTCAACTCCTCTCAGACCCCCCTCATCTACCTATCCATCCAACTTCATGCTCTCTCTTTCTTTCTCTCCCCTTCCTTCAATAGAAAAAAAAAACATTGGTTTTTGTTTTGTTTTGGTTTTCATTGCCCTTTGTTTACTCTGAGAATCAAGCACCTGCCACTGCTTTTGTGTTTCTTACATGATCCCCAAACAAGTAACTCAGCTTAGACCTAATTAACTGCAGAATGTGCGTGTTCCAAGTTGAATAATTTGTCTGTGTCTGGTTTGTCCTGGGGATTGCAACATATGTAAGAGACTCAGGGAGCATCTATTTTCCTGGGCTTGGCTCCAGCAGGTGACTTGGAGCAGCTCCTTCTGAGATGGACTGAATGAGGAAGGACCTCCAGTGACCCTTGGACCTTGAGCACAGCTCATCATTTAGGAAATCCCTGTGTCCATCTGTCTGCCTGCATTCATCCCTGATGTTCCTCCATTATTCTTAACTCTTTCCTCAGCTTCATCCTGATAGATCACCAACAGTGCTTAAATGCCAGCTATATGGAAAAGTTTGAATAAGAAGTATTTTTCTTCCTATTCAAAGAGTCCTTTGGTACATACTGATATCTAATTCCAGGAATTTATTTTCTTAACAGAAATGCCTGGTGTCAAACGGCTCACACATAGCTTCACAATGAGGCAGTCAAAACGGGAACCACATTCTTCAATGCAGAGTTGCTCTCTGCCCACTTAAAATGGGATAGGCTGAGGTCATTCTTGCCTGGACAGTGACCTTTCTACTTGTTCCTAAATCCTGCCCATCTCTCTCCAGGTTTTATCCTTTACATGGAGTGTGTGGTTTGAATGACAACTGTCCCCGATAGCCTTGGGCATTTGACCACGTGGTCCCCAGTTAGTAGCATTTGGAAGCGGGAGGTTTAGAGTGGTGGAGACTTGCAGGAGGAAGCGTGGTATTGGGGGCAGGTTTGAGATTCAGAGCCTCTGGTTATTTCTAGTTAGCTCTTTCTGTTTCTTGTTTGTGGTTCAAGATGTGCACTCTCAGCTTCCTGTCCTGTCACTGTGCCTGCTGCTTGCTGCCACACCTCTGTGCCGCCATCATGGACTCTCATCCCTCTAGAAATGCCAGCCAAAACAAATTCTCTTTCCTATAAGTCATCTTTGGTCATGGTGTTCTATCACAGCAACAGGAAAATAACTAAAACACGGGGTTACATTAAAAAAATGTTTTGTGTCCGTGTCCGTGTCCGTGTCCGTGTCCGTGTGTGTCCGTGTCCGTGTGTGTGTGTGTGTGTGTGTGTGTGTGTGTGTGTGTGTGTGTGTGTGTGTCTGGATGGTTCACTCTCTGGTTCTCTGGCTGTCTGTGTCTGAGAGTGTATAGTGCATGTGTGTGTGCATGTATCTGTAGAGGGTTAAAGCTGACGTCAGTGTCTTCCTCCATCTTATATTTTGAGACCGGGTCTTTCTCTATCACTGAACCTGGAGCTCACTGATCAGGTAGACTTCCTGGTCAGCACCCCTCCCCTTCCCCAGGACACTCCTGTCCCTGTCTCCTAGCACTGGAGTCACAGGCAGGAGCTGCCATACCCTGCTTTTTACTTGGGTGCTGGGGACCGAAGCTCAAGTCCTGCATGCTTCTTCCCGTGGAGATCACCTCTGCAGCTGTGTTCAGAGGCGGGAACATCTGAAAGCCCTGGAATCGAGTCGTGGCGAGAGCAGTGCTTTCCCGTCTCCCTCCTTTATATGGTGTGGTCTGTATGGTCGGCTACCCCTGAATTCTTTTGCAAATGATGAGAGCTCTTCCTAAGGTGCTTCTCCATCTACTCAGCCACAATGAAAGTATTGGGCTACAAAAAAATTCACATGTGCTTTCTGAGTTCTCTCTTACCCCATGGTCTAGAGATCTAAGGACTGAATACCCCTGGAGCTACCTTGGCAGGATACCAACAGCCCCTTTGGGAATGCAGGCAGCACCAAGGAACATGTGTGAGGTGGAGAAAGCAACTAGCCCCAACCACTGGTCTGAGTACAGGTCCCTCAGAAACTGGATGTACTTTGTTTTGCTGTTCTCTTGAAGCAATTAGAGTTGAATTTCTGTCACATACAACCGAAGAACAGGGGTCCTATTTATTCAGGTGCCCTACTCCAGGCTACTAGCTCATAATTCTTAACATTAAAAAAAAAAGACAGTTCATTAAATCCCTCACGTTTTAGTCAATGTAGAACCCTACTACTCAATTGTTAGGAGCTAGGAAAGAGAACTCCTAATAAATATCATATTTAATATTTTTTAAAAAATAGCACTTCCTCTAAAAATCTGCAAGGTACAGTAGAGAAAAATCTGTTCTCTACACACATATATTTAACTATTTTTCTAGACTATTGTAGTTTTCATGAGAAATTGGTTAATAACTTTGAGCCAGGAAAATGTTTTTTCTACCTTGATGATTATGTGAGATTTCATGTTATTTTTAAAGGTTTCTAGAAAATAGTGTTCCACTCACTTACTTCATATCCTCAAACATAATGGTATATAGCACCTAAGTAAAGTGTCGAGTAGTCACTAATAAAAACAAGGAGTCCTCACCTTTGACCCCAGTGCAACTCCCGCAAACTACTCCTCAGAATTTCACTTAGTTTTTCTGGCTGCACAGTTCTTGCCCAGAAGAAATGACACACTTAAGGCCTGTATTTTGCTGGTCCTAGCCTTTATTGTCTCATGTCACCCAAACGTTTTATTTCTTATGAAATAACCTATCTCCACACAAGTATTGGCCAATCCTCTTTCTATGTGGCATGAGACTCTCACCACTTCAAATTACAGGAAGCAATTTGGAGGTCAGGTTTTGCAATGGTTGTGGAAAATACTTATCTGAAGTAATAATCACTTTTTTTGAAAAAAAAAAAAGAAAATTTCTATGGAACTCAATGGCCTGTACCTTGTCATGCTCCTGCCTTAGCCTACTGAGCACTGAGATTACAGGTGTGCCATCACATCTGGCCCTTTAAATGAGAACTCTGGATGCATAGTCCAAAGTATCTTTCCAGGAAGGTAGGAGTAAATTAAGTTTTCCTGGATTCTTTTAGCTTACAGGAAAATTCACACACTCTGAAAATGTCATCATACAGTCATCTTGTGACCATCACAGTTATACCTTATAAAAGGCCGTGTCACCGCAAGGATCGTTCTGATGAACCAAGATGGGTGGACAATGATGAATGACTTCAAATTCTTGCGCAACCTATTTTGAAAACGGAAACAGTTCTGTATTATTTTAAACTTACTTTCCACTGAAAACAGAAAATAGATCCCCAAATAAGAATACATGATGTTTCCGGGAGGGATTCTAGGAAAGTTACAAGGTTGATGTATAGAATGTTTAGTATTATTTTAAAAGTACCTTTGTTTTCTCTCTCTCACTCTCCCCCACCGGGTGTGTGTGTGTGTTCACATGAGTATGTGTGTAAGTGTGTATGCACTCCTGTAGAGAACACCCATTTCAGGTCTCATTCTCCAGGAACCATCCAGTAGGACAGTCTCTCACTGAGATGCCAGCATAGCTGATCAGACTCTGCTGGCTGGCCAGTGAGCTCCAGGAATCTGCTTGTCGTCTCTGCCTCCCAAGAGCTAAGCATGCACCATCACACCTATGGGAACTGAACTCAGGTCATTGTGCTTGCCTGGCAAGCATTTCATGTACTATCTCCTCAGTTTCCTGAAATAAGTTTTGAGACATAATTTGGCACTTAAATCTCATTTTCCCACAGGCACAAATATAAAAGAGAAGGGTGATACTTTTACAGTATATGAATTTAGAATAATTGGCATATTTTTGCTTAATGATGCTTTTCAATTTTGTTAGCCTTATCTTTTTAACTTGAAAAGAATATGCTTTCAGTAACCATTTAGACTATTAATTATTTGTTTATTGTTTTTGTTTTTGAGACAGGGTCTCGTGTAGCTTAGACTGGCCTCAAACTCACTGTGTAGCTAAGAATTACTTCTAACTTTTGATCCTCCTGCCTCTACCCCCCTGAATGAAGGGATTATAGGTATACAGGTAATGGAATGTAGAGCCTCATGTGAGTTAGGTGGGCATGATTCCAGCTAAGCTACATTGTTTATCCCTTGATAATTTATTTGGTCTGACTAAGCCTTATTTTGTTCTTATACATAAAGAAAATTTACCATTTTAATAATTCTTGGTTTTCAGGTACATTCTTCAGTATTAACAATGCTACTTCTATTATTGTTAGATCATAAAACAAATTTTAGTTAAATTTAACAAGGCACTAATCGTGGCGTTATGAAAGAATCCTCATCTAAGGGAATGCAATACATACTAGACACCATAAATTAGTAGTTTTATTTCATTTTCATATATATGGCAATAGAGTTTGTTCTAGCAGAGAGGTAAGTGTTTTGATGAAGGTCACACAAAGGCAGTGCTGGGCTAGCAGACACCTTGAACTGACACAAATGCTGAAATATTACAATGGCTTCCTAAACCATCATTACCTTAGTGTGGTGGTTCTCAACCTTCCTAATGCTGCAACCCTTTAATTTAGTTCCTCATACTGTGATGACCCCAACAATAATTACTTTTTCCTACTTCATAACTGTATTTTTATAGAGGAGCAGTGTCTCAGTCCCTAGGACCATGGGATATGCGTTTTCTGATGGTTGCAACCCACAGGAGGAGAACTGCTACCCTAATACATAAAACAGTAACCAGGTCACATGACATCATGAAAGACTCACGGGTACCTCGGTTTGTTCATCTGAGTTGTACCTATACAACTGCAGTCTAGAGTGAACCAAATCTGCCAGGTTCAGGGTTACAGTTAATAAAATCTAGGGAGGGTTTGCTTTGCTTAGCTTTACGCATCATGTGGTCTTTTTCATTAATATTTTCACAGCTTACCACTTCATGGATCAGTACCCTGCTACCTCCACGATATGACTGTATTATATAGGCTAGAAGAATATTAGATATGAGAGTTAGTGAGGAGTCAAGACAGTGATTAAATGGTGGCACCCACATACCGTCTGTCAATCATCTGGTAGCATTTCTTCATCCAGCCTAGTCCTGGCATCTTCCGCCTGGGAGTTGCACCGTTCAAGTACACAATCATGTAATCCTCAGCTACCATCAGCTCTAAGGTACTTATTACATATCTGATCACAGGGAGGCAGAGAGAGAGTTTCAGTTCCCACATGAAAGCTTTCATTCTATTTACACCCAAACTAAGTGACATTCAAATTATAGAGTGAATGAGATTGAAGAATAGTGGTGCATATTATCTCTTTTTTCTTGAGAACAATGTGTCAGCATTGCCCTTTTATTTGTGTATGTGAAACCACCCTAGAAAAATATGTGGGTTTAAAAGGTGACACAAAAAATGTCTGCAATATTATCAAATATTAAGGACAACTCAGATTAAAGGAGGGCAAAAGTCAGTGAGGGCATTTTCCACCACTAAGAACATGTTATCAGAAACAAAAACAACCCTTTGCCTAAAGGAAATGTTAGAAAAGTCTTAACTATAAGCCAAACACAGCTCATTTTCTTTTCCCATCATTCTACAGAGTTCCCTAGAACAAGGCTCCTTGACAGAAATAGTACTGGCTTCTTATCGGAGGTTTAAGATCGGCTATGTCATATACCCGTGCAGTTAGTTAAAGACCCCTTATCAGCCATCATGTGCCCACAGATGTCAACCCAATCACCACTCACAGGAAAAGGTTTTCCATGACATAGTGGTAATCCGCCCGGCTGCTATCTGGCAGAAAGCAGGCAGCAAACACAATGATGGCATTCAGACCGTCCCCATAGTATCCTAGGGACAAATAAAAAGATATGTGTAACTGAATGAAATTCCTTAACAAGGTCATATTGCTCCTAGAAAGATAAATCTGATGTCTTGTTTGATGGTGTGTGTGTGCTTGCGTGCTGTGAGATATATCATGAAATGAGTAACAATACTGAGGAATGTTCTACACACACACACACACACACACACACAAACACACTGATTTACAAAACAATACTGATTTACAAAACAAGCTAATCTATACAAAATTTCATTCAGGTGGCTGAGAAAGAGATTCTGTTAGACCATCATTGGTTCTTTTAGTTTCAGATCTAGTTAACTGTGACAATTTAGTCAGTGAATTGCAATTCCATACGCTCCAATATCCAGGGGAGAGACATGCCAAATACCTTTATTTTGATTTCCAGGCCTAGTCATTTGACTGTAGTGATCCTGGATTCTCTGGATACAACAGGAAGTGCAGGAACACATGGTAATTCTGCCCAGGCCCAGAATAACAGCACAGAATTCACAACCTCACATCTTAGAGAAAGCAGTGCACTAAAAATAGGGCTGACCTAAATTCTTTTGAACCTTATGAAGACATGTGCATTTGGGAAAACTTGAGAATCATTTCTGGATGAGACAGGTGGGACGTAGAAGTGCTATTTGCAGGTGGAGTTGAAAAAAATAGGATCTGTGAAATGCAAGTCAAGGCACCATTCAAACTCTGAAAGTCGGGGAATATAAAGATACATCTCGGGACGTCACTCCCATCTTTTGAAATAACTGACATAATTTTAGCATTGCCCCATCTTTTCCCCCACAAGCATTCTGTTTCCTCAGAGCTCATCTCTGAAATTGATGGCAGGTGCTACTCAACTACCCAAGGGTAAGTGTGTGGAATAAAATATGTCTCTGATACTTAAAAAGGAAGATAGTGCCCTGGATTGCCATTGGGGAAGTGCTGGGGATTGAACTCAGGACCTCACATGTACTAAACTCACACTCTAGCACTGGGGGACCCTCAGCCCTGGTCAATTTTAAATATGTCCATTCGAGCCTAGAGTCTTAAGCACGCTACTAACCATTCCACCACTGAGCTGCCTCTCCAGCCCTTAATCATTTTTAGGCAAGGGTTTGCTAATCTGCCAAGCTCACCTTGAACTCACTTTGTAACTTAGGTGGGCCTTTAAACTTGCAATCCTCATGTCTCCGCTTCTAAAGTAGCTGGAGTATATAGGCACATGCCACTAGACCTTACTTACATTTGTTTTTCTTATTTATGAATTTATATATTTATTTAGTGTTTAGTATATGATGCATGTACACACATGTTCCCTGGTACACCTATGGAGGTCAGAGGACAAATCATGGGAGTCAGCTCTTTCCTTCAACTATAGGAGTTCTAGGCATGGAACACATATCAGCAGGCAGCTGAGACATCTCACCAGCCCATTAAATATCCCTAATCTACATGCTTGTAGTTTACATTATATTGTCCCAAATTTACAGTTATTATGTAGAGAGGCCCTTGGAGCTTTGAGCAGAGCAGGAAAAGAGTGCTCCTAAACCTGATCTTGTTCTCCCAGAACTCGGTGTTTTCCTTTCAGAGCTATGACTGTGGCTCTGGCAGTGACATAGCAGGAAAATGTTGGCAGTAGATTTGGATGGCTCCCTCTTGAGGAGCACTTTAATAAGATTTCCCCTCCAAGGACATCAATTATGACTCTCACCAACAAAGCAGAGAGAAAGGAACTACAAATACATCCAGTTGTGGCCTTGTGGGTGGATAGGGTGTTTATGCCACATGTCTTATACGATGCAACGTAAGTTAACGTTACATCTGGTGCAGATATTTGTGACCCAGCATGCCCTCGGCCTCCTTCTGGACTTCCTGCTTCAGTCCCATCATCCCTACTATGTAGTCATCTACCAGCTTCTTTTTAGAATGTTAACATGGAGGAAATCACATTTCATGTGAGAAGTTCTTGGTTCTGAGGACTCACAAGTAAATGGAAATCCACAAGAGATGTAGAAGCGAGCCAACATGAAGACATGCAATTCAGACAGCACAGGACAACATACGTGTCCAACACAAGAGAGTCAATGCCACAGTCCTGGTGGGAAAAAGCAGCATGAACACATCTTTATAAATGTAGTTGTTGGCTGTGGTGTCAAAACCATTGAGATCAGGACTCTTCAGTTGTGTTTTCTGCTTGTGGAGAAGCGAAACCCTAGGTAATGTTAGCGTGTTCAGAATGCGGTGGCATTACAATCTCTGCATCATCGAACAGAGGCATCCACAGGGACCGCTATCTATGTGAGGGGTTAGCTTTGTTCAAAAGATGCTGACATTTACAAAGGAAAGCGGCCCCCAGCACTTTGGGTAGAGGAGCCACAAGAAGAGATGGGGCAAAATGAAAGGGAAGAAAATAAGAGAACAGGAGGTGGCACAAGAAAGGCACTAGAAGAAAAGGATTCCCACATGGAAGTGTGTCCCCCAGATTGTGAACTCTGTAGTGAGGCATTGGATTTACTTAGAAAAACAGCTCACTGGTAAGTGAGCAGCTAGGTCATAGCAAGGTCCTATCTCAAAAACAAAACAAAACAACAAAATTTACTGGGCAAAAACAGTAACTAGAGTGAGAAATTTTGCTTTTTAGTCTTCTCTACAGATGCTTTTTGGGGGACCAACTAACCTCTCAATTTCTACCCCAAATCATGCCACTTTTCAGGTAAAGTTGGAAATAGTGTAATTCCTATGAAACTTGCTTTGTCTCTGTCTGTACTGGGGATTGCAGTTAAATCCCGGTGCAGGCTATGGCAGTACTACTGTTGAGCCACATCTATAGTCTTAATTTTACATTTCATTTTGAGTCAGGGTCTCAATAAGTTGCTCAGGTTGGCCAGGAATTGCTGTATAGCCTAAGAAAGCCCTAAATTTAGAAACTCCCTGTCTCAGACTCCCAAGTAGCTGGAATTGCAAGCCTGGCTTGGAGTTTGATTTGTTTACATATTTAATTAGTCAGACTCTGTTCTCATTGAACAAGAAGTGGACATAGGTGCATGTTCTGCATCGGGGTGGTGAGGGGAGGTGGTATCAGCAATTCCACCATGGATCTTCCTGAGGCCCTACGGATCAGTGATGGCAGACCTTACCTGAGGTGACACAAGAGGCATGAAAGAGATGTGACACAAGTTTGCTGGCCAGCAAATGGAATGGAGAGAGAAGGAAAGATGTCACAGGTGCAACAGAACACGCGCACACACACACACACCAGCCAGCAACTCTTCTGCTCATTCTTTCCAGGCTCTTTTGTCCAGCAACACTGCAGAGAAGGTTACCTGAGTCTCCTAGAGTGAAATAAGAGAAGTAAAAAGAGAACAAGACAGGAAACTCCTTGTTAGTATCCTTTGGTATGATTGCTCTTGGTTATTCAGCGAGCTTGTTTTCAGCTCTAAGTTTTAAAAAATGTCAGTTCTGGCTTCCACATGACACTGGCTATGTAAAATCACCCATCCTGCTTTTTGCCTTTTTTGTTTTTTGAGGATATCACTCATGTGGCCATAGGATGTGAACACTGATATCATCACACTTGGCCTCTTTCAGCTGATAGAATAACTAAGGCCAGAGAAGGTAAGGGGATGTACCAAGGTCAGAGAGTCTGAACTCAGCTTCTAAACTGTGCACAGGGTGTCTATGCTGAGGCCACCAAATCTGAGGAGTGGATTACAAACACAGCAGTGACCACTGGGCAGCATCTGACAGTAGGTCATTTTCTTCAAACTTTTGATTGCTCCCACCTTGCAGTTTCATGCACTGAACATTGCCCTACCAGAAGTTTCTCTGGGGCTGATAGGAAACCCCTTCAGAGCAATATGGAGCACAGAAGCAAGACTCTCTGTTCAGTCTGTTTTGATATGCTCACCAGAAGCCAATAGTTAGCAGCTAAGATGCTTGGTCATCAGAGACTGGGAGAGTGATGTGAGTTTCCAACACGGAAGACTAAACTTTGTCAAATTCAGAAGTAACATCTGAGCAATTTTTACCTAGAGCACAAAGCTGTCCAGCGTGTAGGAGGTGGCGGCTTCTCAGTAGTGGGCGGAGGGTACAGCCAGAGGCATATTCATGCGGCTGAAGGAGACTGAGGCAGAGCCAGGGAAAGGAGAGGTGGCCTTCTCTTCAAAAGCAAACTGACAGTCACTCAGACAAAAACCAAATGCACGCCACATAATGTGTGGAGAGGAGCAAGTGCCAAGGGGAGGAGGTGGCAGGGAGGGAGCTCAGCAAACCAGGTTCCTATGAGGTCACACATGGACTTTAAAGAGACCATGGCAGGCAGAGATAGTCCTGCCCACCAGTGTACTCCTGGTGACAGCTTGGCCTGATTCCAGTGACTTGGACATTAGGCTACCCAACCCATTTGATTTGACTGAACTTGAAAAAACAAAGGCTAAATTACTAAGGTATCAAGAGGTAGTTTGGCCTTTATGGTAACAGTAGAACTGTGGGCCTGTTGTCTCATGACATGGGCCTCTGAGGCCAAGAGCTAAGGGCAAACATGTGCAGACATCATCCCCATGTGACTTTGATTTACCCCGGCAGACTTATCTATTTTCCCTGTGCATTTTAGAGAACACACAGGTCACTTTTATAGTCAATCTTTGTGAGGTTTGTTTGTTTATTTTTTACTACCCCAAAGCAAACAAACCAAAAATACCAGAGAGCCACCGTAAAGCAAGAATAGGGGCTCAAGTTCAGCTTGTCGTCCTAGCAAGAGGCTGGCTTTAGTCCTCTCTCAATCTCCACAAGCTTTGCTCAGCTTCCTTCCAAAGGGCTAAGGAAGAGATTCCTCCCACAGGGTCCTCCTGCTGCCCACAGCAGCTATCACAGGGTCACACTGCCATTCCAGACTACACAGCAGGGCAAGAATAATGAAGGTCAGGTCAAAGGCTCCCAAGGTTATCCTTTTTCTCTGTCAATCAGTTTCCTTGTGTGGCCTGGTGTTCATGGGTCTATTGGGGAGGGATGGTTGGCTAAGACATTTGTGTGCATATTAGAAAGCAAATGCTATTGATTTGATGCTGGATCGAGAAGGGCTGGGGATACAGTTCAGTGGCAAAGCCTTTGCATAGCATATTCAAGGCCCTAGCTTCAACCCCCAGCACTGAGAAACAAAACAAACTCTTAATGAACTTCCAGAACTTATTTCCTAGTTCTCATTAAGGCAGAGGCACTGACAGCAATGGTTGCCTTGCGAGATTGGGCCTTGGTGGAGAGATGCCTCAGGACTGCAGGAAAGGGATGCATGCAGCAGACACATCAAACAGCCAATGATGTTTTCTGAAGTCAACAACATGCAACACAATGCCTGTGTTCATCTGACTTTTTTCTGAGTCTCCAATTTAATCAAAGCCACATGCATTCCTGGAACCCCCAGGTAAACACACTTTTCCCTCTCCTGAGTCCCTTGCTGGAATAGAGGTTTTTACTGTGGTTAACTTTTGTCTGTCCCATCTTTAATGTGGTTCATAGGAGAATAAATTTTTTGGTAGAATAAATAGCTATTGGGCTGAGTCTAAGAAGTGTGCTGGAGCCTCTGAAGGGGATTGGAAGCCCCTCCAAGGCTGAGGTCTTACCTCCATGAGAAATGACTCTCCTGTAGGGTTCGATGACCTTCATGTCAATCCGTTGTTCCTGCTCTCCAATCACCACTGTCCTCCATAGTCGGTTGTCTTCTCGCTCCTCTTCAGCTGTATACTCTGGAATAGACTCTGACTCTTGACCAGAGCTCTTGTTGGCAGTGGGATCTTCTGGAAGGGAGGCACAGAGCTGGACTGAAGCAGCAAGACTTCCCCAGGAAAAGCAGTTTAGAGACTGGATTGGAAGCCACCACCTTATAGAGCTACCCACTGGAGCTGCACACTAGGAATTCCTTAGAGGCAAACAGGAGCCTGACCATACAACACCTAGCTTATAGACAGATGGAGGAACTAAATCCTTTCCTAAGGTCATGCTGAAGTAGGAACAGTCGAGGTTAGAGTTCTGGTACTTACTCATCTTTGGTTATGCAGGTTAAACACTTTCTGGTGGGGTGATATCAGGTTCAGTTACCCTTAGCTTTCTGAGGCCATCTCCCCTGGTTTCTTGGAGTGTCTGAGTGCCTTTACTTGATGACACTACTGCTTAGACCTTGGCTGTGAGACTCTTAGAACAGGGATGAAGCCCATTGTCCCATTGTGAAGCTAGGGTGTATGCTTATACAGAAGGCTGCAAATACTTCCCAAATATTGTTCCAGAATATACCACAGTAAAGATTATATAGTGAACGGGAAACAAACAAGTTTGTAAACTGGAAATTTCCTGACAACTTTTCAACTTTTGGGTTCACAAAGCAACAACAAATACTCCACTGAGTATTCTTTGGTCAAAGCTTAGTCTTATGCATTCAAAATAATAAACATGATATTCACTAGAAGGCTAAGCTGCAACTGTTAACCATTTTTACTAGAAGTACGAGTCAAGTTTGACAAAGGATGGAGGTGTAAGGGAGGATGGAGGTGTAAGTTTAACAATTTTAAATACTCCAAAGGGAAAGATTATTTATTACCTTTCCTACAACTCTGAGGCATGGCTGTTCTTACTTTTTACACTGTGGGAAAAGACCATTTAGATGACATTGCTCTTTGCCTCAGGCCCTCTTGTGTCACAGAAATAGGAATAGCAATGCTGTGTCTCCCAGCCGCTGGCACTAACATAGCAGTAGGTGTTAAAATGGACATTATACCAATGTGGAAATTGGTAACAAAGCTAGCAACTGTGGTGATATCTTGCTTAAGCTCAGTCAGTAGAGCATGAGACCTTCAATCTCAGGGTAGTGGGTTTGTGTCCGACGTTGGTCGCCAAAATGTATAAGAGTTCTTAATTGGTCTACATGATAAAAACCCAGAGTCTGATATAGAAGAAAATGCTGAAAATCAGAGAGAAGGAGCAGCAAACCACTGCCACACCTTACTTCCCAAACATCTAAGCAGACAAGAGAGTGAGTTCCTGTTTCTCCCTGCTTATAACCTGATTCCACTCAGCTGTCTCACATCCTAGACATCCAAACCTCTATGGTTAGTCAGTGGCAAGCTCCATTCTGTGACCTTCAGACAGGCTTTATTTGTACAAGCAAGATATCACCACAAGCAACAAATACAGTTGACACCCACCCCTCTGTTGTGAACTTTCCTAAGCTACTGATATGCCTTGAGTGTGAATTCCTTGGGTTAGGGAACTTCATCTGAATCACCCTTAGTACTTACTCACTTCTACTGACACATCTCACAGCTAGCGTAGAAATATACTCAGAATATGCAAACTGGGAAGGTTAGTGGGTAAATGCCAAAGAGTTTGAGCAAGCTTTTAGGACTAGAGATAGACTCTAAGGACCCACAACACAGTGTTGCATCCTGGAGGATTCAGCAGTCACAAACGCCCACAAGTACTAATTACTCCGGACTCACTATCGGAAACTGAAGCTCAGCTGGGAAGCCAGACTAGCTTTCCTTGCCAACACAAACAGCCACACCACCCACAGAGCCTGGCTCATTCTGGTTCCACTATGGTCCCAGCATCACTCAGCAGCTTGTTAAGGATGGAAGGAAGCAACCATAACTTCTAATCAAGCATCATGTCACCTGGTGTAGACCCACTTGTTTGTCTGGTATTCTTTCCCACTTCTTCCTTTCTACTTGGATTGGGAAACTAGCTACTAATTCTACTCTCTCAAGTTCCATATTTCTCATCCTGTCCCTGGTACCTAAGAACTCTGGGCTCAGACGTGGTATGTCTTTTGATGTTCGTGTCATTGACATCAGTAAACTAACCACCCATGAAACCCTCTGTGAACTTACCATGTATCTAAACTTCAGTGAACTCACCAAACCTTCTACAGTATGTTTGATACTCTAGCCTGCTCTAGTTTGTTCTCTGTGGGATGACAGTGTGGTATATATGATACATATAGACTCAAACCTGCATCTACTCACAAATTATCTAAAACTGGATCATTCACCTAATGTAAAATACCCAAACCATAGACAACATAAGATAAAATCTAATTGACCTTTGGCATAGAGATGGAATTTATGTATGTATTTGTTTGTTTATTAGGGTTTGCCATGCTTTCTGGGCTGGTATAGAACTTATGAGCACAGGCATGCTTCCTACCTCAATCTCCTGAGTAGCTGGATCTGAAGGTATGTGTCACTAGGCCTGGGTCTACAACTGATGACTTTTTAGATATTAATACTAAATTCATGGAGTAAGTAATTGACAAACCAGACTGTGTTAAAGTTGAAAGCACAGCACTGAGAGAATAAGAAGGTAGCTACAGACTAGGAGAATGTATTATAGAGTACAAATCTGGTAAACTATTATTATTCAAAATATACAAAATGCCTAAGACTTAACAATAAGAAAATGAACTATTTGATTAGCAAATGAGCAGTACAATGGTGTTAGGGCTGTACCTCAGTAGTAGAGTGTTTTCCTACTATGACCAAGACCCTGTGTTCAGTGCTTATTAACACAACATGCACATATGAGTGTATGTGCATGCACACACGCACACATGTGCGTGCGCACACACACACACACACACAGAACTGAGCAGATATCACCTCATCAGTGGATATGCAGATACCAAGGAGGCATAAGAAAAGATGTATGACATCTATCATTTTAAGATAATACAATAGTGAACTGTTGCTACAGATACTACTACTAAACAGGTCAAAATCCAAAACACTGACAATCACCAAACTACTGAGAATGTGGTGCATTAGGGATTCTCATGTGTTGATGATGGAGATGGAAATGTTCCAGTAATTATGGACGACAGTTTGGAAATTTCTTATAAATAAGTTCCTATCATGCAGTCCAACTCCTTTGTAATTAGCCAACAGAAAGGGTATTTCCAGATAAAAATCTTCACATGTATGTTTACAGTAGCTTCATTCGTACTTGCCAAAACTTTGAAGCAACCAAGATGTCTGTCAATAGGTGACTGGAAAAAGTGTCACATCCATACACTGGAATATCATTAAGTGCTGAAAAGAAACGAATCCTCAAGATGTGAAGGAATCATAAATGTCTAAATGCAGAAGACCACTCGAAAGTCTACTTACTGTGTGATCCTAACTATCTGGCATTCTGTAAAGGGCAAAGCTGGGGAGACAATAAGAGGATCAGTAGCAGCCAGGGGTTAGAGGGTTTTGTGTAGCAGTTTTCTGCAACAGGAAACCCACAGTCTGAGGAAAGCTAATTCAGACACAATGTTCTGAGGGAAGCGAGGCACTCCAGCCAGCAGGAAGCTCCTTAACTTAGGCGATAAAGGATCCAAAGGCTTCAGGAAGTCCCTGAACCTGACTAGATATACAAGACCCTTCCTTCTCTGAGCATGCAGAAGCTGTAAGCATCGCTGAAAGACAGAAAAGCTAGGCTGCCTAGAAGACACTGAGACCAAGGCAGCTACCTGAAAAGACATACTCTACCCATTGAGCAGTCTGCAGGCTACGCAGTGTGCTAAGTAGACTTTGGTGATGTACTATGGGTTGAGTTATTTCTGCTCCTATAAGTAACTTCTCAACTATACTGCTGTTAGTCACCCAATAAAATTCATTCATTTACCAAGTTGGACTTAGATGACATCCTTATTCTGCTCTCTTGTTGGTTCCCTATATGGGGTGGGTAGACATTTGCTTATGTCTCCCCAGGAATTGTGTCACACAGCACAAGTGAAGGAAGGATAAATTACAGGCCACTTTCTACTTGCCTAAACCCACAGAATGTTCAGCACCAGGAGTGAGTGCTAATGTAAACTTTGTACTCTGAGTGAGAATGCTGTGTTGTCCATGAAGGTTGTCAGTTGCTACAGATACAAGATGTTTATTAGTTGAAAAAGAAGTAACAAATAAAACTATAAGCCACAAAGGAATTCTTAAAATAGAGGAGACAATGTCACCCACTTCTCCACTGTCTGTCTCTCTTTGTCTCTGTCTCTCTGTCTCTCTCTCACACACACACACACACTTTAAAAATGAGCATAATGATTCTTCTGACAATTGAGCCTGCTCAATACACAGGGGTCTCCTCATCCCAGGAATTATAACCCTACTAAGTTTAGAGCTAGTCCTCAAGGATATTACTTTGGTAAAGTCTCTTAGCTTATTGATTCCATGAAGAAATAGTTAATTTTACTCTATTTTGTTCTTCTTTTCTTTTAAAGAATTGCCTTTGGTTCCTTACATAGGAGTATTACATCATTTGAACCCACATGGCTGAGGGGTAATGCCACCCCTGGCCAGGCGGTCCTGGACTTTATAAGAGAGGACACCGGACAAGTCAGGAGGAGCAAGTCAGTAAGCAGCTCCACCATGGCCTTCCCTTTATTTCCCCAAACCCCTGGGTTTCTTCCTTGAGTCCTGCCTTGGCTTCCTACAATGAAGAACAGCGAGATGTAAGATGAAATAAACCTTTTTCTCCAAGTTGCATTTGGCCATGGTCTTTATCATCACAAGAGAAAGCAAACAAAGAAAGATCCCTTCTATCTTAAAAACATGTATGTGCAGACACACACACAGAGGCATATACACACATGCACAAGCACACACACACTTATGCATGGCTCATACATACATACAGGCTTGCACAGGCACACACGCTCCCTTACACACAGAGAGGCAGGCACACACACATGCACAGACACCCCCCCCACACACACACACATACAAGAGGCACACTTTCCTACTCTTTCTTGTCCAAAAGTGCACGATTATTCACTTGGTACAAAAGTTCAGGATCAGATTGATTTTGAGGCATCAGTCCTAATGCTTCAGACTTTGGGAGCTATTACATTGCTGTGGTTCCATCTACTTCCCTTCTCATTGACATAAACTGGAAGAGAAAAAAAGGATCATTTAAAAATCTGGAGGGCTGGGGATGTGATTCAGAGGCAGAGTGATTGCCCAGCATGGGGATGGCAGGGGAAAACCAGGGGAGAGGGAGGGAAACAGAAGAAGAAGCAAAGGAGGGAGAGGGAGGGAAAAAGTCTTTAGAACAATTTAAGGACTTGTGGGACGTCAGTAACACAAGCAGGTGAGCAGTAAAAATGCTCTCTTCAGTCTGTTGAGTGAGCAATATCTTCCTCCTCTTAACTAAAGCCCTGTCTTTGTTTCCCAGCTATGGCAGATGTGTTCAGGGCTTATTTAACTCTCCTCAGGCCCTCCCAATCAGTCATCATCATCATCCTCTCCTCTTCACTAAGAAGTTTTTCCTCACTGATGATCCCTTCCCCTAGCAGCTGCTGAAGACATTTAGACCATCACTCGTGAGGAATAAGTCAACCTGAACTTCCCTCCTGGCTTTCCGAGATGATTGAACACATATGCTTTTGATTGTTCTTGCTATACAGACCACAGTGGGGTCAGCGTGACCTTCCTATAGGAGCACACAACTGTGAAAGCTGGCTGACTTTCTACATCACGACACCGCCTGCATGACAGGAACGCTCTCGGAAGACAAGATACCTGACGTTTTCTGGTTTTAGGAAAGACATCCAGCACACAGCTTAAGAGGTTAAAATCCCCATGGTGATAAACAACAAACAGGAAGTAAACTTGGGTATAAAATCTCCGTGTAGGGGCTAGACAGATGGTTGGGTAGTTAAGAGCACATACTGGCCGGGTGGTGGTGGCGTACACCTTTAATCCCAGCACTCGGGAGGCAGAGGCAGGCGGATCTCTGTGAGTTCGAGGCCAGGCTGGACCGACAGCCTCCAAAATAATACAGAGAAACCCTGTCTCGTAAAACCAAAAAAGAAAAGCACATACTGCTCTTAAAGGGAAGGCCCGGGTTCAGTGTTCAGGACCCTTGTCACTAGGCTCACAAGCACCTGCAACTCCAGTTCCAGGGAATCTGCCTGCCTCTTTTGGACTTCATTGGCACCTCTGCTCAAATGTGTATATAGTCACATGTATACACAGCAAGAAAGACAGATGACTTAAAATAAATAAGTAAATAAATACAAATTTAAAATACATTTTCAAAACAACCATAGTATGCAAGAATGCAAAGAAAAAATATCTTTACAGACATATGAACTTAACATGTCATCACTTGCATGCCGAGTGTATAAATAAGCCCTTGTTTCATAAAGCTGACTTCCTGTTGGTTCTGGAAATTAAGAGGATCACCAATAGGGATGGTAAAAGGTGTGACTGCCTGACTTAGAGAATGTTAGAATGCCTGTCATAGGGGTCAGTGTTAGAAAAGCTGCTAGGTGGGGTCACTAAACATCATTTGGGGACCCTGGCAGTCCTAAAGCACAGACACATTGCCTCTCTGTCCTTATCAGAAGCACACAGGTCAATTCTTTACCATCTTTCCATGCCCATGATAAAGAGCCTTTATCATGCCTGAGCTCTGAATTGTGAGAAAAATTATGTCATGGTTGGGAAAATAGAATGATGTCATCATCATTTCCTTCTTGACCTATGAGTATTTTGTTTCTATAGTTAGTATCAAGAAGCAACACAAGTAAAATCAAGATTACCTTTCATATGAACGACTAACCCCCAAGCATTTCACTATCTGTGTAATTCTGATTTCGTTGGCACAAAAATCAAGCCTTAATTATATTTCTGCACTGTTTGGACACAGCTATCAATGAAAACTGATCGAAAGGTAACAAGTTGTGCCTTTTGATAGGAAGATTAAATTGTTTTTCTATAAGCAAATTGGCAATGGTAGGCAAATTCCCTGGACAAGTATTTGATCATCAGTTTCTACATAAAAGAGGGAATTGGTATGAAAATCCTTGAAGTGGTAAAAGACGGGTTCTCAAGTCAACAATGTGACCTATGGAAGCACACATGCTGTGGTAGTTTAAATGTAATTGCCCCATAAGCTCATAGGGAGTAGCACCATTAGGAACTGTGGCTTTGTTCTGGTGGATATGACCTTTGAGGGAGTGTGTCACTGTGGGGCAGACTTTGAAGTTCTATATATGCTCAAGCCACACTCAGTGACCCAGATCACTTCCTTTGTAGGTATCTCAACCCCTTTTCCAGCACCATGTCTGCCTGCACGCAACCATGTCTCACCATGATGATAATGGACTAAGCCTCTGCAACTATAAGCCACCACCACATTGAGCATTTTTCCTTCATAAGAGTTTCTGTGGCCATGGTGTCTTTTCACAGCAATAGAAAAGCTAACTAAAACACATGTGAATGTGAGCTTTCACACTTGGTTTCCTGTACGCAGGCTCAATTTAGTAAAAGGTCCCCTCCCTTTTTACTCATTAGCTTATCAGACAGGGAAGCAGAAGGAGCAGGAAGTCCACACAAGGCTTGGTTTGAATGCTATCGCAGACAGTCACAGCTATATAACTTTAGGCAATTATGTAACCTGCCCTTGTCTCTGTGTTCTCATCTACAGTGGGGGAAACAGTCTGTTTTATAGAGTAGACATGAAACTTACAATAACTATCCCTTCTACTTGGCCCATATCCTATTCAATACAGTAAACACTATAAAACTGTCTATTCAGCAAAATAAATTATCAATTTTGAAAAACTATACTTGGAAGTATTTGACTGGTAGTTCACCTGTAATCTCATCACTTGCTCTTGTCTTAAAAAAAAAAGCAAAACCAAAACCAGGAGGAATTAATAAACACTCCCCTTTAGGATGTATATACTGCCTCCAACTTTTTTACCTGAAAAACTCCCAAGCACTTATTTCATAAGATAGGTCTAATATGTATTTATATCCCAATCTTTCTATGCAGTGGTTATCCATGTCTGCTATACAGAATATAGCTATCGGCCAAACTGTGTTTTAGATGGTTAATGGTTTGGCTTGCTTATTTATTTTTTTATAATAGTGTTTGGATACACCTTTCGTTTAAAATCAAAGGGAATTTTAGGTTTCAGTGTACATTTAAATCCAGCTCTCTGAGTAAGACCTAGACTAACTGAGATCATTAAACTTCCTCTTTCTACATATCTATATCAACTGAATAAAAAGAACCATGTCAGCAAGTGGCAGTTTTTAATTACCAGCTTGCTCAGCCACCACCACTTTGCTTGACAGATTTACTATTTATAAATAAAAAAGCTCAGATGTGGTGTGACAAAGCTCTCCACAGAGACAGCGGAGCAAGGGGAGGGAGGGACCAGCCATAGCTCTCTTCAGTGTGGTTTCAAGTCAGTATATTAGCAAGAAAAGCGCTGGCACAGCAGGGGTAACTGGGATAGATGGTGGGGGGGTGCAGCTATGAGAGCAGGTGGGATGGAGGGAGTAGCTGGGATGACTCTGAGGTGGCAGAAAATACATCAATTCAAGATGTTCTTTTCCTTTATGTTTGTGTATTTTTAATGATCAAGTCAAATATCCAGATTATTACCCTCAGCTCCCAACAGCAGTAATTTCAACCAACTGCAGGTAGGAAATATTTGGGGGGAAATTGGATCTGTATTTAACACAGAAGCTTTTCATTTTCATTATTCTCTAAAATACACATTTCAGTCATATTAGGTACTATGATTAATCTAGAAATGGCTTAAAGTATATTGAGGAGGTATGTGGATTATATGCAAATGTATATACATATAAGGGAATTAAACATCCTTAGATATTGATGTCAGTTTGGGATCTTGGAACCTATCCACTACAGACCACATGTATGAAGAACCCTACAGAAACCCATGAGCAGGACAAAATTGTAGTATAACTCCATGTAAGTACAATAAGCTGCTTCTATTATTAATAATATAATACCTGCTTCTATTATTATTATTATTATTAATAACTTGAGGGAACAAAAGCTTAAACTCTAAGTCTACAATGGTTATGGATGTTGTCCCTGTGGCTCAATGACATTGGGCTGAATTAATCAGCTAATTTGATGAATTTCCCAACCATGTTCTCTTATGAATAGGGTTTCCTGTGTCTAAAGCCTTGAGCATCCCTTAATTGCAGTATTTCTTTTTAAGACTAGGAAAATTTTACAGCTGAAAGTCTTCCACTTTGACTTTCAATTATAATTTCAGAGAAACAGAAATGGCAATGCTTCTTAATGAAGCAACGGCTCTGTATTTGTCTGCACTTATGAGTGAGCCAAATGTCACCAAACAAGAGAAAGGATCTGCAGTAGACTAGCATTCCTATCGTGGCTGTTGGTCCTGAATCTGCCTTCCTCTCCATCCACCCTTCCTTCTTTCTGTATTGAAGATACATCATAAAATGCCACAGTCTCTGCTCTGAGGAAGCATGCATTCCAGTGAGGAGAATCCAGTAAGCATCTCAATCAGATCGGCAAGCAAATCGTTTAGAAATACAGTTTCAACAAGGGAAATGCAGACAACAAAGGAACCCTAGTATGGAGTGTGAGGGGCCAGGGGTACACAGGTGGGGAACACCTGTGACAGCACAAGTCATGGAAGGCCTATTGAGGAGGTGGCCTCTGTGAAGAGATGTAACAGGTCATGTAAGGGTGTGAGCACTTTAGACAGCAAGATCTTATACAAAGGAATTGGTTTCTGATTTCTCCTCTTCAATTTTTGCATTCCAGATTCAAGTCTGTTTCTTTATCCACACAGCCTTGGTTTTCCTATAACAATGCAGGCCTTAGGGTAGGTAATTCACAAATGCGTAATAGCTTCCAATGAGTGGCTTCTGGGAACTGGACCCACTCCATCATACTCTAAACTGCCAAGCATGGACACCCCTGAGCAAGGTTCTAATGGAAACTTCTAGGGTCACAGGAAGTAGCTACTTGCACAGACGTGAAAGATTTGTTTGTAATGTTACATAGATAGTAATTTACATAACTTTGGCCTCATTATCTCAGCAACTTACCATGGCCAGTATACTCAAAGGAATCTGCTTCATCAGGGGTATCGAGTTCATCCACATTGATGTCAATCTCATCTGGACTGTCTAGGTTATCATCAGAGAGAATCGATCCTTCACTTTGGTCCAGAGAAAGGTTGATATTAGGGGCTGTGAGCTTGACTCTCCGAGGGTGACTGCCATTGAGATCCAGGGAATTGGGAGGTTCTAAAGAAGAAAATAATAGCAAAGTTAAGTCACACACATGGCCTTCTTGAGTGCAACTGGGCCTCAAGGAAAAAAAATCCTAATAAGGGACTTGGACCCTGCCCCCATTTTGTCCTGTATGTCCCTCCTTCCTTGTTTTGTTTTATAATACAGGGTCTTGCTATGTAGCCCAGGTAGGCCTTTAGCTTACAACCTCACCCGCCAGTGTTGTGATATAGGTGTGAGCCATTTGGATGCTTTTATTAATTTTTTAAAGTTTATGTGTAAGCATATGTATGTTACATGGGTGCAGGTACCAGAAGATGGCATCAGACCTCCCTGGAGCTGGAGTTACAGGTTATATACATCTGTCATAGGTACTGGGATTTGAACTCTGGTTCTCTGGATAGGCAAGAAGCACTTATAAATTGCTAAACAATCTCTCTAGGCCCCTCTTCCTGGATCGTCTTCTATAAAGCATCCCTCAGTATTGGCTTCCATTCAGTACATCATCCATATGAAAACAGGACTTGGAAGATACTGCTATATGGGTAGAAACTTTTGTTTGCTTGCTTGTTTTGTTTCTCTGTGTAGGTTTCAGAAGTCAATATGCTATAATACTAAGTTAAATTTTATGGAGCTTATTATGCACAAAAACATTTAAGCATATATATTTTCTTATGATTCTTGAAGATGTTATTCCTATAGAATTGAGGTTAAGAACATTACTGCGCATTGGTGGCATACACCTTTAATCCCAGCACTTGGGAAGCAGAGGCAGGTGGATCACTGTGAGTTTGAAGCCAGCCTGGTCTACAAAGCAAGTTCCAAGGCAGCCCACAGCAGTTACACAGAGAAACCTTGTCTCATAAAACAAAACAAACAACAAAAAACAAAAAAAATCTGCTAAATTCATAGAAAATACCAAAACATCTATGTTATCTTCAGTTGCCTTCAGTATTTTTCAGTTTTTTTCTAAAGCCTTAAGTGCATTAGATTCTTTGAACCCATGAAGGAAGTCACCACATAAGCCAATATCACCCTACATTACTGCCTATAATGTTCACAATGACCAAAGCTAAGGCTGATGGAGGCAGCTCCCAACCACTCTCAGCAGCTTGTCTTACTGCTCCTGAACTTTTTATTGGCTAGAAACAGAGTCATGTAAGTCCTTTTTATACAAGTTTATCTGAACCAAACACAGAGAGATATCTATTGTGATCTAAGAAGAAATACTTGGTTTTTATCTCTGGTCACAATTATTCTGGCTCCTAAATTGCTTGGAATTTTCCTAGCATCCTTTTTTATCTGTAATCCCTAATTTGGATTATATGGATTTTAGGGCCTGAATTTGAAACAGCTCTGCTGGAAACTTTTGGGTTGGGCTTTGCGGTAGACAGACTGCCTTTGCCTAGTCCCTCAATTCCATCCTCCTCAGCACACAAAAGAAACAAAACCATAACAGAACTCTTGAGTGAAGTCTGCTGTCTGACACTTTAGTGAGCTCATTTAAAGTACTAGGAGGGTGGCGGGTCCTTTTTTCTTCTTGTCTTCGGGGGGAAAAATCACTTCAAAACATTAAACATCATTAGGTGAAATCTTCAAGAAACTATCACTTCTGGATCAACACACAGAATCTGTGCTCCAGAGGGGATCAGAGTTGCATCTCAAGCTGGAAGCCTAATTTAGAAATATGTAAGAGTCTCCTATATGGATGGTACTGCTTCTGAAGGCAGAAAGGGTTATGAATAGTAGCTCATGCCTGGTACTATGTGGCAGGGTCAGACTCCCCGAAAAGAAAACAGGAGAAGCCATTGGTGAATGTGCATTCTCAGTTGCAGCAGATACCCAGGATATTGAAGATGCCAGGACTGTGATATGTCGACCAATGACAGTGGCAGGTATGGCATGGAGCAGGAGACTGTATGGCAAACTGTGTGAGTTACAGATGGCAGAGCTAGGGAAGTGAGACGACCCAAGCCCTTAGGAGCCAAGAAGATCATGAGAAGTTCCAGATGTTGGACACTGACTTTTTTATACTGTTAGATTTTGGTTTTACTTTTTAAATCCAGGCTTAATGTGATAATGTTAAAACCTTTACATACGTGTCCCAGACAAAGGTTGGACGGCATGCTATCATTGAAGAATCTCCAATGTTGAGGAACATACAGCTGGATTTGCTTGAGAATTTGAGCTTTCAGTGACAACACATCAGCCTAACTCTGGGGAATTGTATCATTAAAGAAGACTTGACTAAGGAATGTATTGCATTTGGACCTGGGAACGACATTAGCATAGGTTTCCAAGGACTAAGTGCTAACTAAAGGCCAAACAGATGTGCAAACATTAGCACAGAAGTTTGCTAAACAAAATCCCACTATATTGCCCCCTGTACCTGACTGACACATATGCTACAAGTTACTCTGTGTTCTCATTGATGATTATCACAGCAGCTCTCAGCAAATGTTCTTCCAAAATTCTAGCCTTAATATCCTAACAGACACAGTCAATGGTTGACTGAATTCTGCTCTCTTCATGTATCTTCAGGAAAAATCAAGCACTTTAGTTGGACTACATTCCCAGACTGAGAAATGGCCTCATGAATTAACTGTCTTAGCTGAATCACTGTCCCAAACTCTTGCTAACAATATCCAAGGAGCAGGCTGCTAAAGTTATGGAACTCTAAAATTCAGGCTAATCAAATGATAAGCCTACAGGTAAAAACATTATCTCCTAAGTCAACCCTTTCCATTCTTTCCCAGGGCATTTGTGATGAAATTATTGTCTAAAACCTATTTTATGCTTGCATATGACACAGTAATCATCATTAAGTGTGTATATCAAGAACCTAAGGTTGACTTTACCTGCCTCAGTTATGAAATGGGTATGTACACTTTACATGAATCAACCACAACATACTCATCACTGTGGGTGGTGTTCACCCAAGCCCTACTTCTCTATAATGACCATAAAGGTGTCTGGTTAGCTCAGGACTGATGGGAAACAAGTAACCTGGCAGTTGCTAGAGTCCACTTAATCAGTTCAGCAGGTCTGCAGAGGCAATCTTTTGCCCTTATTTCCCCTCAAATGACTGAACCTTCACTACATGCAGGAGACATTCTTGATCCTCCTCCAGCATTAGTCTACTAGTTTCCACTTTAAGGGACAGACGGATTGATTCAGGGTTACAGTGACGAAGCATTTACTTCCTGATTGTCCCTTCTTCAGGGCTGGTAAGTGTAATTGCCACATGGAGGCATTGATTGACTTCATGCAACAAGCCTTAAGTGGTGGACAATAGTAAAATGTAAATACTTGGTAAATACTGAAATGTCCTTAATGAGGAAAACAGACTTACAAAAACAGTAGGCACTTGGTATTATCTCCTCCTCTCAAGGAGGCACTGCTATTAAAACAGATTGCTGTCCATATACACCTGAAAAATCATTTACTGCCCACTGTTCTTGATAGTTTTTATGTCAACCTGACACAGAGTAGAATCATCAATTGAGAACCTATCTCCACCAGATTGTCTTTTAGGCAAACCTGTGGGACATTTTCTTAATTAATGTGGGATTGATGTGGGAAGGCCCAGCCTATTGTGGGTAGCATTCCTCGATGACAATTGGTGCTAGATGTGTAAGAAAGCAACCTGAGCAAACTGTGGAACCAAGACAATAAGGAACACTCCTTCATGACTTCTTCTTCAGTTCCTGTCTCTAGGTTCTGGCTTGAGTTCCTGACACAGACTTCTTTGGTAATGGACTGGGACCTCAGAGTTGAAAGCCTGAATAAACCCTTTCCTCTCGAAGTCATTTTGGTCATGTTGTTGTTGTTTTTGTTTTGAGACAGGGTTTCTTTACATAGCCTTGGAGGTTCTGGAATTCACTATGTAGACCAGGCTGGCCTGTAACTCATAGAGATCTGACTGCTTCTGGCTCCCAAGAACTGGGATTAAAGGCCTATGCCACAACTCCTAGCTGGCCATGGTGTTTTATCACAAAAATAAACCCTAATTAAGATACCTACTTAGAAAAGGCTATCTAAAATTGATGCTTAAAGTGATCTAGCCCAGGAGAACTGTTAAAGGGATGTTTGGATCCAGTTCCTAGTGGCTAAAATCTAGTTGTATTGTTACTGGTATTATTAATAGAGTTTAAATACTGTATATAACTCATTGCTTAATTACTTCTTTTCCCAGGGTGATAATCCCCTGTTGGTTACAATAATCTTAACTAAGAAACACCGATGAAAAGTTTCAAGTTACTGCTTCTGCCATGATCCCTGACTGCAACCTTGGTACTTAGTGTGGCCTTCTGATCTATAAGTACAGTTCCACTCTCCTGTGTGGGACATGCCTTCCTAGGAACGAGCTATTCCAGGTGCAAGGGACTAAATGAACATAAAATTAACAAATTGTGTGTGCTTCAATGATGGGCATCCTAGTATTGGGGTAGTTTTTCCCCACCAATTATCTTCCTTTTCTTGTAACTTTTAAAATTTCTTTCCAGCCTCCCCCTTAAACCATCCACACTATTTGGGGCACCTACTCTCAGCCATCTGAACCTTGGGGAAAACTCTAGAACTGCAATTCACAAGGCCATACTTCCAGTTTGAGTCTGAACTGATCAACACCCATCCGTGTTATCTTATCATCGGACCAGACGTCTGCCGCCTCAGTTATAACACTGCTTATATTAACATAATAGGAAAAAAGTCTCCATGAGTTCTATAAGCTGTCCTAGAGAATTATTAAGCCCAACGAGGGAGGGGGCTTTGAAACCCCAATTTATAGCCAGTTGGTCAGAGCACAGGCCTGACCTGAGACAGCACTTGGTGGCTAAGTGGGAACTGTCATGTGGGACTGAGCCCTTAACCTGTGGGGAGTGGGAGTGTCTCCGCAGATGAGCCAGCACAGAAACAAACCACAGGCTATCCAGAGGCCATTAGTGCAAAACCTCTGGCAAATCTGGTCACAGAGTTTGTGTTCTGTGTGCCAGTATAGTAAGAGAAATGTTTCCCAGACTCATTCAAAACCAGAATCATGGGCTTTCTAGAAAAAAGTATTCAGAAGGCATCTGGTATGCCCTTCAACTCTGTCCTTGTCCTAAGGAATATCACTGTTCCTTCCTTATGATATCACAGCATTGCTTTTTGCTTTTCTACATAGACCATCAGCCATACCATGCACCATGGAATGTCTTAATACATCACTTGAAAAACGTTTCCCTTGAAACATTTGAAAAACAGCAGGCTCTATGTGACAGGTATTCTCAGAGAAGTTATGTCCAAAAGAATTTTTGAGCTGGTTGCCCTACATATGGCTGTCGAGCACTTAAAATGACACTAGCGTTACTGAAGAATGAAATTTAAAATTTTTACTTTTTAATTAAGTTGAATAGCCATATGTAGTTAGCTGCTACTAACCATTGTCTTAACACTTTTATTATTTGAAATTGTGCTGTGACTTTGGAAGAATGATGGAGACATACAGTGGTTACTGTTGGCCACAGAATGTGTTAGTATATGGTTTACTTATAGAGTTCTTACCTAGTACATACAAGGTCCTGGATTTGACATTTAGTACCAACCCCTTTAAAAAGGTCACATGATTCAAAATTGGCAGATTATTTTAACTACTACAATAGCAAACAAACAAAACTCTCCCTTCTCAGTTCATTTAGGCTTAACTCCCAGTCAGTGTTTGATATGGTTTTAGTTTTGGTGCAGTACAAGGGAGAGGATATACTATAAAGTGTGAGTCACGTTAGTTATAATTGAAAGTTTGTAATTCCTTTTTGTTTATAATTCTTTTCTGTCTTGAGCTTAAACCCTTACAAGGTAAGGTAATTTTTTGTTTTTTATGTGATTCTGGGTTTCAAAGTGGCCCCTGCGTATGTATGCCAGATAAACAGTCTACTACTTAGTTACACCTTCAGCTCCATGTTGGCTTTCTACAGTAAGGACACAAAGCATTCTTGATATTCCATATTAATCATTCATACAATTATGTTCAGTTACTGAACACAGTCACAATCTAGAATTTGGCATTGTATACAATAGCCAATTATAGGCACCGAGAACACTGGCAGGTAAGGGCAGGCCCAGGAGGTCAGTTGATATGGCTCCTAACTGTGAGTTTGAACACTTGAGTCAGCTCTGAGCCTGGCACCTTTTTCTCACACATTTTTTCCCCTCTTTACTTTTGTCACTGAAATCACAAGTTGGATGCCTGGGAAGGGGCGCTCTCGCTGAATAATAATGTCTGCACATCGACTGCCACGAGGCGATGAGCAGCTGTTTCTCTCACCAGGCCTCATGTCTGCAGCACTGGGACTCAGCACTCCCTCCTCGAAGGGGACATCCATTCCCACATCCTCTGATGACGGGAACCTGAAAAGAAGCAAAAGAACAAGCATTAAAGAACCACACAGGGCTTTACTGTCCTGAAAATCAATGAACAGAGAATGGAGGACAGACATTCCAGCTGCCTTGATGTAAGCAAATGTGTGCACAGCCTGTTGCTAAGTGGCCCCAAATGCAGTTTCTGTGAATGAGAACCACAAAAGCCAGTATTATTGACACCGAGAACAGCAGTTTGACTGTGTACAACAGTCACTTCTCCTAACTCCCACAAGCAAATTCAAATCCAGCAAGACTTCAGGAAGAGAAAAATGCAAAAAGCCAATTCATGGCAAGGGACATTGACCATAAATGTTTTTTGACATGAGAGGCAACAGACATGCTTTACAGAAGACAGATCTGAGTGTCTACCCCACCCCCTCTATAAATGGCTGCACAGGCCAAGGACAGGACATTCCACTGGCCACACTTTTTAGGCTTCTAAATTAGGGCACGTGGCCTACCGTACTCAATTGTTTCAAGGTAAGCAATAAGAGTAAAGTAGGTAAGTTAACTCCATGAACAGACAGGGACTGACACTTTCCCACCCACCTTTGAATATTTAAAGATTCCCTGTGGCTATGTGTTGGTGAAGATGATTATCCTCATTAACCATCTCTTGTCTCTGCTCAGAGCTGAGCCTAGTCCCATTTATAGCACCCTCCTCGGCTAGACAAAGGCTGAGGAAATGGGAAAGTAGAGGAAACCTTGACAAATTTGCATGTCCTTCTAGGAAGCTGGTGACTGTAGACTGAATTCCTCTTGTTTTTATTCTCTGGCCCTTACCCAGTAAATGCTCACATATCATGGTCTTACACATTTCTTCTTGTTGGATTCTGTGAAATTTTAATCCTTTGTGGTAAATCTTCAGTAGGTCCAAATCTAAGTTTAAATAGGCTAAAATTGTATTCAAGGTCTAATTTTATTTCCTCCCTCAATCCCTTCCTTAATGAGCCATTTCTCCATGCCAGCCTGGGTCTTCCAAACATTTGGAGTTTGACCAATTTCTGTGGGAGTCAGGTTAAGTCCACTGTTCTCGACAAAGCACTGAGGTGACAAAAATTGAAAGGGGTAAACTAAACTCAAGGGCTTCACTTCTAGTAATTTAGAAATAAAGGGACCAGACCCTTACTCAGCCCCTGCTTTAGCAGCCATGACAGGCTACAGAAAAGACACATAGGCCTCTGACACAAGGAAACTCCAGATCCTCTGGCCTCCTGGAGTCTAGGGCCAAAACTGAACATAAAGAAACTCCAGAATCCCCCCCCCAGCCTCCTAGATGCTTGGTTCCTGGGAACTGTTTGACCACATAAAGAAACCAACCCATACCTGCTGATGTAATCCTGTAACTTTTGTCTTTAAAACCTAGCAGTGGACAGGTAATTTCACTCCCTCTGTGTCAGCTTGCCAAATGGGGTCCCTGTCATGGTTGGTTGAACAATTAAAATTTTGCTTTTGCAATTTGGTGGGTCTTCCTGGTGGTCTCTGGGGACTTTGAAACTTGGGCACAACAAAAATAAATTTTATGCCTCTGGTAATAACTGTACTGGCTTTGTTTATTGGACAAATATGTATTGACAGTCTACTGTGTGCTGAGAATATAGTAGAAAAGAACACTTAACCTTTTTCTCGTGAAGACGGGAAATGGAGCTGAGGCAAGCTCTGTAGCTACTTCCCTGGAGAGAAGTGCCCATGTCTTCCCCGCTATCTCCACAGACCCTTCTAAAACACAGCAGCAGGAATTGTTTAACATTCCCTAAGGTCCAAGGCTAAAGGCTTTGTCCCCAGCCTGTGGCACTCCTGGAAGGTATGGAATCTTTAGGGGACAGGCCTAATAGAAGGAAGGCATGTCATTGGGAAAGAACTCTTGAAGGGACTACTGGGGCATTGCCTCAAGTCTCTTTGCTTCCCAGTTGCCATGGCTGTGCTCTGTAACTCACTGCTGTTATGATATTCTGCCTCACCACAGGCTCCAAAGCAGCATGGCCAAGCAATCATAGACTGAAACTTCTGATATGATCAGTCAAATAGAATTCCTTCCTCTTTTCAAATAGATCACTCAACAGTTCTGTCAGCAACGGGAAGCTGACTAACATAGGGCGTGTCTCTGTACAATATCTGTGGCTTTGACCGTATGTGTTCTTGAAAACTGATCCTGCACCAGAGCTGAGAGACAGTGAGCAAAGCTGGAGGTGTACTTTAGTAGTGCAGCACCTGTCAGGTGTGTTCAAGACCCTGCACTCACCTCTAGTTACTCATGTGCAGAGGTCAGAGGAGGGCACTCAGTGTCTTCTCCATTATTTTTTCCCTTGTTCCTCTAAGACAGGGTTTCTCATTGAACCTGGAGCTCACATTTTTCCACAAATCTGGTAATCAGAAAGCCTCACAATCCTCCTGTCTACCCCCAGAAGTGTGGGAGTAACAAGTGTATGGGATAGCCAAGTTTTTTGTATGGGTGTTGGAATCCAAACTCTAGTCCTCCTGCTTAATCACCAAGGCCTCCCTCTGGCCCTGAGGCTCTGGTTTTAGAAGTCCTGTGATTCAAAGGGATAGATTCCTGATTTTTCAAGATGGCACCATTTGTCATACGTAAAACACACACACACCAACCTTGTTGCCTCAAGTCGTCTGTGTGGTTCTCCTTAACATTACATCTCTATACCTGTCATGTAGAAAAATGTTGCTAAGAGCAGTTAGCCTCAACAGTTATATCAAGCTGGGTGTGGTAGCACATGACTGTTATCTCAGTACTTGGGAGATAGAGTCAAGAGGATTAATGCCAGCTTCTGCTACATAAGTAGGCTGGGACCAGGGTGTGATCATGAAACCTGGTCTCAATAACAAAAGAACAAAATAAAACAAAAACAAAAGACTTAAAAACAAAGCAAACTAAATTAATCACTTACTTGTGCTGCAAAGCATGCTATATCAGTATTTGTTTCTGTTTCCTCACCAATAATAGCAGGAGAACATAGCAATTCTTTAATATGCGTGATGACAGAAACCACCACATCTATCATCACTGTAGCGAATTTTGCTATGCAGGCTAAGTGCTTTCTCCATGTGAAGCTTCATGACAGCATCAATCAAATCTATCCTGTTCACTATTGTATCTCCAGCACCCAGGCAAGTAAATACCCAATAAATGCCTGGTAGACAGAAGCACCCTGAACACATGCATAGTTTCTCTAGCCTCCTGTCAATGAATAAAAAAGCTTCACATTCCTAGTGACCATCTCACTGATCCCAGGGAAGATGCCAGAACACTCACTTGACAGCACACATAAAAGTGCAGGCTTCTGCCTCAAAATAGGCATGGGGGTTTTAGATGTGACAAAGAGTATCAACCTACATTTTGTGGGTTTTATGAATTCTGTGAGTCACCAGCAATTTGGTGAAGAAACTGCAGAAGTTTTGGATATGAGGTCAGGGTTCTGAGCTGTGGTCCCTTAGCCACTTGATAAGCTGATTGGCTGAGAAAACTGGCTGCCAGTTCTAAGGGTTTTGAACAGAGATGATAAATATCCAATACCACAGACTATGGAGAATAAACACAACACCACCTGAAACTCCCTGCAAAAGAAAAGGCATTGTCTGAGTTTAAAGTATCCTTACATTTAAGAAATAACATCAAAAGTGGTTTAACTGAAGTATGGGTTGTACATGTTTGGACAACACATAGCTAAGATTCTTACGAATTGTGTATGAACCCAGGTAAGAGGTAATATCACAGCTGCACAAATCTGCAGATCCTAGCATGACTCCCAGCTCACCAGTGTGACTGAACAGAGCCTGAGCCCCAGACACTGTCCTTAGCACAAAGTGGAGACCTGTGAGGAACATGCTAGTAAGCCAAGCAGACAGGAACCGGAGAAGGGATAAAGCTGAAGGCCATGCACGGAGGGGGGGGGGATGGTGGCTGGAGGCAAGAACTCCAAACCCATGGGTATTCAGAGGCTATAAGGGAAATCTGAACCATAAAAGCCTAGAAGTGCGTCTAGGGGAGACCCAGGCATGGCTTAGCAGCATAAACATCTGTAGAAAAGAAATGGCCTAAAGAAGAGTAGGTGGCAGAAGTGTGACGGGTGAGCTGGCTACATGTCTCCACCTAGAGGTTTCTTTATGGGATAGAATAATGTCACCACTTGTCCCCAACTCCTAATTTTTCGAGTGACATTGAGTATTAGGTGACCATCTGACTTGCTGTAGCTAACGGGAAGACTTAGGAACATGAGTATATGGTGTCATCCTTCCTGCCTTGGTGGTTGTGACAGTTCCACTTGGCTAGATTTCTAGTGCCAACGATGGGCTAAAGCCCAGTGGGTACAAGAACAAGAAATGGTTTTCTGTCCTTTTTTTGCTGTGAGACCAGGCCCTCACCTGCCCATTCTGACTACACAGCAAGCTTTATTCCTTCAGAGAGAATATCTGGCTCACACTGTGGTCAAAATGTTATTTGCTAATTGGGGTATCCAATTTGCACATTCCCAACATAGTCTCGTGTTTATAACATACATCTTGCCTGGGATGTAAAAGCATAAGAGTATGTTTTTAAAGTGAAGACATAAATTTGGAAAGGATCAAAGGCTTTCAAATATTTCATAAACTGAAGTATCAAGATATCACCTTTATGGTTTTTATTGTCATAATCTATTACTTTATATTTACTCAACTCACTCAATTTACTCAATATTTTTCTTTAAATTGGTGTTTGATTCAAGTAACATTATTTTGAAATGAATGCTTATATAAGTAGTACACTTAGACACTTAAATTGCCTAGAATAAATTAGTCATGTGAATTAAGTAAAATGGTGCTTTTAACTTCAATTTAAAGACCCTTTGGTCTCTCCTGTGGCTTTCTGTCTTTGCTAAGAAGAGAGAATAGAAAGTCTTAGCTATGTTTAGCAGGGTGTAATGGCCTGTATATGAGCTTTCTCAACCCCTTCCATAGCTACAATTTCTGTTAATATACACAATTCTAATATGAAA